ACTTCCTTTCTGCTTCTTTTCCTTGGCAGCAGCCATCCTAGTGGGTGAGGGGTCCCTGCCGACCAGGGAGGCTGTGCTCCCTTCCACGTGCATGTGGGCTGTTCGAGTATGTTCTCTGGATACCTGTCTACTCAAGTCCTTTCAGGCTATTTATTCTTTTTTTTTTTTTTCATTTGCAGTTTACAGTCAATATTACCTTGCATTAGTTTCAGGTGTACGGCACTGTTTATTCTTGCACCTTTATTTTCCTCCTGGACTTTAGACTTGGTTCACGAGGTTATAACAACATCCAGTACCTTCTTTACTGGGTTGCGTTCAATGTATAGATCAGTTTGGGGGGACTGTGGGCTCATTCCTCTTAGGTCTCCCCTGCAGGTTCCTGGCTCGGTCTACCTCCGTCTTTCTACCCCCTCCCTGTGGGTCCAAGTACCACCCACACCTGCTCCCCTAGCTCTGTGCTGACTCCCAAGTGCTGCTGCACAGCTCACCTAAGTGCCCTCAGGTCTTTCCACCCCTGTGTCAAACTGAATTGCTGTCACCTTTTTCCCACTGAAAGGGGGACCACCGGCACCATCCCTGCCCCCCCCCCCACCTTGGAGGAAGGCTGGGTCCTGGCAGGTGAAAGAGACCATTTTTGAAGGTCCATTTACCGAGGTGTGGACAGGGAGTCGAAGAAGGCAACAGGTGGTAAAAGTCCTGGGTGGGGACTGGTCCCAGAGCCCTGAGAAGGCAGAGGATGGGGCCTCAGGGAGGGAACAGGTCATCCCCCAGTAGGAAGAGAGCTGGGGACTTCCCCAACTTCTGGGCTGGAGGCCAAACTCAACCTGAAGCCAGTGGGGGTGGAGGATGGAGCTCAGGGTCGCGGATGCTGTCCTGAGGTCTGGGGTGGTGTGGTGGTGGGTGGGCTGCAAACTAGCAATATCCAGCCCAACCTTTCCTGGGTCTCACATGTTACAGCCAAGGGCCTCCGGTTGGACACCTGACCATTCCCCCTGCCTCCCCATGCCCCGTTCTCCATCCACGCCCCCTGGAACCCGAACATCTCTAGAACCCTGCTCTGAGCGGGCCTCGGCCAGCATCAAGCTCTCCTTTGGCACCACAGAGCCCTTGGAACGAAGTCCAAACTCCCTGATCACCTGGTACAGGGTCCTCCCTGCCCCCGCCCGCCCCTCCACCCCTCAGTCGGTGCAGTCTGTGTCTCCACCAGTCCTTCCTGTGAGCTGCATGGGCACCCGCCCACTGCCTGGCACACTGCAGGGTCTCTCCCGGCCTCCCCACTGCAGGTGGGTGCCCACACTCCAGGGTGCTCCCCCCAGGTCAGGACCTGGCCCTGGCCCGAGGGCAATGCTGGGGACGGCTGACTAGGGCGGATTGTGGAGTATGGCCAGGGGGCGGCAGCAGGCCCAGGCGCAGGGCACGGTGCACACTGCCACGGCCATGAACGCTCAGCGGCTTCACCTGCCCAGTCTCCCTGGCACAGTGCCCTCCTCAGCCTGCTCCCGGGACTTCCCTCAACTTTCGCTGCTCACCTCCACGTCTTAGCTCAGGCCTTTCCCCACCCGCTGCGCAACCCCGCGGCCAGACTCTCCCACGCCGCCCTGGCCCCAGCCTTAATCCTCCTTCCGGCTCCTGCGGCACCGGGCACCCCTATTGTAGCGCCCAGCGCGGGGCCAGAGCCCGGGGAACTCACCCCAGGGGCGCCGAGCACCTCCGGCCCCACCAACCCCTCCCCTCCGCAGGGTCGGGCCCACCGTCGCGCGAAGGTAGGAGGGGTCGCCGCCCGCGACCCCCAGCCCCCACTTCAGCCTGGAACGCGGGGGAGGGGGCGGGGACGGGGGGCGCGCCTCTGGGGTCACCACACCTTCTTTCTCCTCCACCCTGCATTTGGGCGGGGGGGGCAAAGGTTAGGGGCTAGGGCCGCGGCTCGAGCCTCGGGCTCCCGAGCGCGGTTAAGCGTTAACCCGCGGGCCCGGGGCCAGGACGCCGGGCAGCTGGCGGGCTCCCACCGGCACGCAGGGGCCGGTTCCAGCCGAGGCGGGGCCGGGCGGAGACGGGAAGGGGCGGGGTCCACGGCGGGGACGAGGGGGCGGCGGGCCGGGCCGGGCCGGGCGGCGAGAAGGGTGGGCGCCGGGGCTGGGGCAGCGCTCACCTGGCGCCCCGCCCGACCTAACCTGAATTTCCGGGGGCGGGGCCGGGCCGGGCGGGGGCGGGGCCGGCCGGGCGGGGGCGGGGCCGGGCGGGCGCCCGCAGACGTCAGGGACTCGCCGCGGGAGGCCGCGGCCGCCGCTCAGCCCGGGGCTCGGCCGGGGCTCCGCGCGCGTGCGGGCCGCGCCAGGCAGGTCCTCGGTGGCGGCCCGGCCCAGCGCTCGCCGGCCCGACGGAGGGCCGGGGCCGAGCCGCAGGTAAGCCGCGCCGCCTGCGCCCGCGGCGGCCCGAGCCCCTGGCGCCAGCACCTGCGCGCCTGCGGTGCCGCGCGGGCACGGGGCAGGGGCAGGGAGCGGGGAGCCCGCCGCGCCGGACAAAGGCGCGGGGGTGGGGGCGGCCGCGCACCTGGCCAGGCCGGTCCCTGCGCTGCGGAGACGGCCAGGTCTGCGCCAGGCTGGGCGGGGCCGCCGGGCGCGCGTCTCCGCGGCCTGGGAGGGGACGCGGGCCCGGCACCGGCTCGGCCATGGCCGCCCCGGGCGAGCGCTGATTCAGGAGCAGGCGCCGTTCCCTCCCCCTCCGGCCCCGCTCTCCCGCCGGCCGCCTCCCGGCCTGGTCCTGCTCCCGCGTCCCTCCCTCCGTGCCTCCTCCTCCTCCTCCCTGTCTCCTGATTTCCCTTCGCCGCCGCCGGCTCTCTGCTGTGCCTGCGTCCTCTCCCAGCCTGTCCCCGGCCTCCGCTCCGACTGCTCCTTCCAGCCGCCTGCCGGCCCCATCTCTTCCCTGTCCAGTCCTGCGGCTCCCAGAACCTGCCCCCCGGTGACCCCAGCTCTCAGGCCCTCACCTCCTGGCTGGTGGCTATTCTGGCTGGGGGGTGACGGGACAAGTTTGGGGTGTTTATTATTCTCCCTCCTAGCAACGATGGTTGCCCAGCCCCAAAGCAGCGGCAGGCTCTTGGGGAGCATCCATGGTTCTCAGGCCTGGGCCTTTTTAGGAGGAGCCGGCGTGGCTGGGCGCCCTGGCTCCCAGGCATCATGACCGGGCTCTGGGGGTTGGGCCTTCTTATGCCACCGGTAGAGGCTGTGGCCTCCTCTGGGTGGGTCTCCGTGCCTCATGCCCATTGGTAGCAGGTGATGCCAGAGTGTGGGACCCAACCAGGAGTTGGGGCTGGGGGCAGGATGGAGGCTGGGAAACACAATGATGGGTGGGGGCTCTCCAAGACAGAGCCCTGTTGTCTCCCCCACTGCCCGAAGAGGGGCTTCTGAGGAGGATGGGGTTGGTCTCCAGTGTCAGCCCCCCAGTGGACCCTGAGGAAGTGCAGGGGACCGGGGTGAAGAGGCTCTGACCAGTTAGAGCTGCCTTCTCCTGGGGGGGGAGGGTTCCCTGTCTTCCCACCTGCCTGCCCCAGACCACATGAGGATAGGCCAGGGGATACATGGTCACTTGGGCCTTCACAGATGGGTGGGGCTTGGTGTTGGCTTCATCCACTGCCTGCCTGGACAGTCACTGAGGCCTCTGGGTGTGGGCCTGCAGGGACAGGGTCTGGGACACCCTCACCTTCTGCCAGCACCAGCAGTTCCCTCTGGTTACTGACTCAGCTCTTCGTGAGTCTCCTGCTTAACCTCCACCTGTTCTGCAAACGCAGTCGGGTCATGGACTGGGACCACTCCACAGGGCCCTGCTCTTCGACCGGGCGTTCGGGGACGCTACCCTGGCTCCAGGACCAGAGCTGGAGGACCTGGCTTCTTTGCCCTGACTGCTCCCTCTGCCCAGAGTTCCCTCCATGTTCTCGTACCCGCTTCTGCTTGTTCCTGAGTCGCTCTCATGCCTCCTTCCCAGCAAACCTTCCCTGACCACCCTCCTTAAACAGACCGGTTCTGTGTCATGCCTTCTCATTCTTTTGAGGGAATCCCCAGGATGTGCTTGCTTGTGTGTGAGTGTGTGTGTGCGTGCAGGAGAGTGGCCAAGAGACTTGTGGGCTTGTGGGTGGCGCTCCGGGTACGGGTCGGTGCAGAGGCCATGTGCATGTGGGTGTGGCCCAGGCGTGGCTCCATATCAGGTGCCTGTACACCTGCGCTGGTGACATCGCTCTGCTCATGCTCTGAGCGAGCGAATGCCCTGTGACTGCACATGTCTGGCACTGCTCCAGGGCCTGGTCTCAGGTGACATCGGCCGTTGTTGCTCAGGTTGTCCCCACTGTGCCCCTCAAACCACCGTGCAGTCCCTTTCTGTCGTGACCACGTCAGCCCTCAGATCCTCCTTCCCGTTGCGCCCGGGGCCTTGGGCACCACTTCCCTCCTGGGCATTGGAGAGGCTGCCGGCTGCTCTGACCACTGCTGTTGTCCTTGCCTGGGGGCATCTGCAGGATGGTCACAGTGGCCATGGAGGGAGGTGTCTCCTCTCAGTGGTGGGAGTATTGGTGGGTCAGGGTCCTGTCTCCAGCTGTCCCCCCAGCCCCTGTGCCCAGGGTTCATCCTGGGATGTCCGGCTGGGGAAGTGGACCCTCTGTGTCCTGGGGAGGGTCTGGTGCCATGGGCTGGCATTGTGGGGACCCTGACTGTAGGGAGCTGCTCCTGGTAAGGTCATGGGGACATATGTGGGCCCACACACAGGCAGTGTAGCCGATGCCCACAGACTCGACTCCTGCACCTACGCGCGAGAGAAGGGGCTGTGTGAGGCCTAGAGCCTAAGGGAGTGTCCAGCCACCTGAGCTGCGGTGCTGGTGCGGGGAAGGCCCTTGCGCCTCGGAGGGGCAGGTTCTGTGCTGGGCCTCAGGGTGCCAGGGACCTGGGCCTGGACCAGGGAGCCCACTCTGACAACTCCTGTACCCACAGGGCCTGACGGGCCTCCCTGGCGCCAAGATGAGCGTCACCTCCTGGTTCCTGGTGAGCAGCAGCGGCACCCGTCACCGGCTCCCGCGAGAGCTCATCTTTGTGGGGCGTGACGAGTGCGAGCTCATGCTGCAGGTGAGGTGGGCACCTCTGGGGCTGAGAGGGTGGGGCGGACAGCTGGTGAGGAGGCCTCCACACGCCACCTGGGTCGGGCCTGTGCAGGCCCGAGTTTGTGCTCCCGGGTGCAGGTCCGACAAAAGGGTGCTCCGGTTTCTGTTCGATTCTCAAGGTATTGGGGGCTCACCTTTGGGAGGTGTGGAAAGTGGGTTTGTCCATTTTCTGTGGTCTGGGGGCCTGACTTGGGCCTTGAGTCTGGTGGAGAGACTCAGGGCCAGCTCCAGGCATTAGGCCTGTCCACCGTGCCTGGTGCCCCTTCGCCGTGCGCTGGGGGGAGGCCTTCCTCGGGCCCGAGAGGCTGACACAGAATCAAGGCTTTCTCTCTGGCTGGGGTTCCAGAGTCGGAGCCCTGCTTCGATGGGGCTCACGTGTCTAACTCTTTGGGAACAGAGTGTGGGGGCAGGGCAGTGGGCTGACCCTGTAAGATCCCCCTTAGCGTGGATGTCCTTTTCTCTGTCCCTCCTGTGTGATTGAGTGGGCTCCCTGAAGCCCTGATGGACCCTGTGGAGGCAGGGGTGCTGGGGGCCTGTGGGTATCAGGGGCCTTGGGTGCTCCTGCCCCCTAGCCTGGCTCCGTCCCCCGCCCCTTCTGGCACAGGCCCTCAGCCTGCTTTTCCCAGGTGTTGGGAGAGGCTGGGGTTGGAGGAGTTGGTGCTTAGAAGGAGTTTGGGGTCTCAGTCCAAGTTTCTGGTGGTAGTGGTGGAGGCCTGAGCAGGGCGGGAGCAGCAGGGGCTTCTTAGCCTCCAAGCTGGGGTGGCCCAGCATGGGTCTGCCTGTGTTTCTGTCCCTTGCTGTTCTCCGTCACGTGGGGAAACTGAGGCTTGGCGAAGTCCTGTGGAGTGAGGGAGTGTAAAGTCCTGTGGAGTGCGGGATTGCTGTCCTGTGGAGTGCGGGATTGCTGTCCTGTGGAGTGCGGGATTGCTGCTGCCCCGGCTGCCACAGCTGCCCCTGCCTCCCGCTGCCCCGGCCTGGCCTCCAGCCCCCTGCTGCCCCTGCTGCCCCAGCTGCCCCGGCCTGGCCTCCAGACTCTGCTGCCCCGGCCTGGCCTCCAGCCCCCTGCTGCCCCTGCTGCCCCTGCTGCCCCGGCCTGGCCTCCAGCCCCCACTGCCCCAGCTGCCCCAGTCTGGCCTCCAGCCCCCACTGCCCCAGCCTGGCCTCTAGCCCCCTACTGCCCCAGCTGCCCCAGTCTGGCCTCCAGCCCCCACTGCCCCAGCCTGGCCTCTAGCCCCCTACTGCCCCAGCTGCCCCAGTCTGGCCTCCAGCCCCCACTGCCCCAGCCTGGCCTCTAGCCCCCTACTGCCCCAGCTGCCCCAGTCTGGCCTCCAGCCCCCGCTGCCCCGGCCTGGCCTCCAGCCCCCGGCTGCCCCTGCTGCCCCAGCCTGGCCTCCAGGTTCTGCTGCCCCAGCCTGGCCTCCAGCCCCCACTGCCCCAGCCTGGCCTCTAGCCCCCTACTGCCCCAGCTGCCCCGGCCTGGCCTCCAGCCCCCCGCTGCCCCGGCCTGGCCTCCAGCCTTTTGCGTGGTCAGCTGGTGCCGTCGGACAAGACATCATTCTCTGCCCCTCCACCGGGGTCCCTGCTAGCGTGAATGTCCCTGACAGCCATCAGGGGGCAAACCCTGACCTTCCCTTACCCTCACCCAGGCCTTGAGGAAGGGGGCGTCCTGGTATGACACTTCCACCCCACCTGAGGGCACCTCACCACACAGGCCTGTGCTGGGCCCCGGCCTCTCCCCCACCCGCCCTGAGAGGTGACATGGGGATGAGATGGGGCCATGGGGAGTGGGCGTGGTGAGGGAGGGGCCTCTGTTCAGCAGAGAGGCAGGAGGCAGTGTGGTGAGGGGGAGACTTGTGCCCCAGTCTGAGCAAGGGGGGCTGGAGGCAGGGGAGGCAGAGCCAGCCAGCCTGGCTGTGAGCCTCTGGCTCTGCGGCCCCAGCACTTCCCACAGTGTCCTGGCTCCAGTGCCTGAGGGAGCTGCAGCCCCGCGAGGACGTGTTCCGTGACGCAGACGCGAGCGGACACCCAGCCCAGGTCCGCCTAGTGCCAGAGCCCGGTGCAGGGCGTGCACACGCGCTGGATGTGTACGCACGCACGCGAGTGCACAGGCACGCACACATGCCTGTGCATACGTGTGTGTATGTGTGCATGAGCACACGAGGTTGCTCATGTGTGTGCATGCCTGTGCATTTGTGGCGGGTGTTCTCTGTACTTCTGCCCGGTGGGAATCTGTGACAGCTGGGACTTGTCTGCTCACATCCTGACCCGGAAACCGCGGCCTGTTCGGGAGCCCCTGGGGTGGTGCTGGGTGAGCTGGCAGGAGGGCGTGCCTGAGCCCGGGTTTGGGCTGCTGCCCGAGAGCGGGGGCCCTGGGCGGGGCTCCCCTTGGAGGCGGCAGACATGAATTTTGGAAGCATGTCTTTGTTCTGTTTTAAATGAGTACAAACAGACCCTTTCCCCAAACTCCATGTGTTCGGAGCCAAAGGCCGTGTCATAGCGGCTCCTCTTCCCATGTTGTGGGCGCTCTCCCTGCCGCCCGGTGTGTCAGGTCTCCGGTCCCTGTCCCAGGGGCACCTGGGCTGGGTCGGGGTAGGGCCAGGAGGAGGTTCTGGGTGGAGCCCCTCCTTGCACCTGAGTGCCCTGGTGCTACTCCAGGTCTAGGGAGGGGCTGGCAGGAGCTGGTGACAAGGCCCTGGCAGGAATGGATGCTGCAGCCCAGCCTTTGGGCACACACTGGGGGATGGGCTGTGCCAAGTTCCAGGAGCCAGAGGTGGGCGGGGCATCTGGCAGGGAGAGGGAAGGTGGGCTCAGGGTGAGTGTGGTCCTAGGTAAATGACCCAGACCCAGTTGCTGGGAGCTTGGCTGGTGACCTCCCTGGGGGAGGTGGGAGGCCAGGTGGACAGTCAGGCAGGGTTGGGCTTGAGCTGCCTGGGGGTAGCCAGGTGTGACCAGGAGTTGGGAGGTCTGCTTGGGGAGGGAAGAGTTGTTCAGGCTGGAAAGGTCAGCCTCGCAGCGCCTCCAGAGGTTGCTGTCAGCAGCCGTGCACCCCAGCGTGAGGGACAGCGAGGCCGAGCCCGGGACCTGCCCGCATCCCGCCTGCCCTGGCATGGCGCTGTGCATAGCCCGGAGGGTGTGCCCTTGTCAGTCCCTGAGGTGCTGAGGTTTCCTGCATCCCGCCTGCCCTGGCATGGCGCTGTGCATAGCCCGGAGGGTGTGCCCTTGTCAGTCCCTGAGGTGCTGAGGTTTCCTGCATCCCGCCTGCCCTGGCATGGCGCTGTGCATAGCCTGGAGGATGTGCCCTTGTCAGTCCCTGAGGGGCTGAGGTCTGGCCATGAGGATGGCAGAGCCCGGCCCCCAGGCCTCAGGGTTTGCTTTCCTGAGACAGTGGGTCCCTTTGGCCCAATGGCATTTTGGGCTGGGCAGGGCTGAGGCGGGCAGCTGGCCTGTCCCCAAGCCCTGTGCATGGGTGGGAGCCCCATCCTCCCTGATGCTGGGCTGGACTCTAAGGTCTCGTAGTGCCTGCGCCTCGGGGCTGCCGAGAGGGGCAGTGACCTCGCCCAAGGTGAGGAAGCCCTGAGAGGTGCTGGTTCTTGTCAACCCCGCTCTATGGCAAGGTCCCAGGGGAGTCCTCCAATGCCCTGCAGCCAAGAGACAGGCCCAAGAGGGGAGTGCAGTGTCCCTGAGCACGCCAGGGTAGGGAGGCCCCGGCCAAGGCCAGTGTGCAGGGTCACAGGGCCGGCCTCGGGGGAGGTGAGCACCGGGCAGGCCTGCGTGGGGACGTGGGGACGGAGCGAGCAGTCCCGGGAGGCGGTGCCTGACGTCAGGGTGACCAGGAGCTGCCCGGACATAGGCGCTGATGGGATGAGGGATTCAGGACAGGGCAGAGCTGAGGCTGGGGGGAGAGGGCCGTGGGTCACCAGGGCAGACCCACCTTGCTGGAGCCCGTTGCTTTGGGAGGCTGGCAGGTGCCCGGGGGTCATTCCTGGGGCATCCTGGCGAGGGCGCCTGAGTCCTGCCAGCTCATCTCCCTGGGCCCGTGGGGGCAGCGCTGCGGGGGTGGCTCCCGCGGCCTCTGTGTTCTGGGGGCCCTGGCTGGCCCTGCAGGCTGTGCCCTGCCCTGAACACCCCTGCACCCCGCTCCTCTCGGAGGGCCTGGCAGGATGTGCGGGCCCTGCCCCCACTTCTCTCCCTCCTCACACTGGCCCCCAGGTCTCACTGCCGCGTCGTCCTTGTGGGTCACGCCACCACCGCGGGGCCTCTGAACCCAGAAGGGGTCGGAGCATGGAGGCTGCGCTCAGGCCCAGGGCTGCAGCCCCCCGAGCCTGCCTGCTGGCCTCCCCCGGGCCTGCCCGGCCACCTCTGCCACGCTGAGTGACCTTGGCTGGGCAGGGCGGGCCAGAGCCCATGCCCACCCCACCTTGCCCTCCCTGTGCTCCAGTCTCTGGGCGAGGAAGGAGGCAGTGCCCTTCGGAGGGTGCTGGGCCTCCCAGACTGATCACTCCAGGGTGGTGCCTGAGGGGCTGGGCAGGTGGGAGCATGAGACGGGCTCTGCGGTGTGGCCAGCTGCCTGGGCCTCGGAGTCTCAGCACGCACCTGTGAGGACTGAGAGCCTGGTGTGTGGTGACACGGGACTCGGTCCTGGCCACCCTCCCGGGGGAGCGAGCGTGCGGCCCCTCCTTCCCACGTGTGCTGAGGGGCCTGGGAGCCTCGTGGGCGCCCTGCCTGGCAGGCCCTCGGGGCACAGACGGCCGCCAGGGCTGCAGGACAGCTCCCTGCGCTGTTTGTGCTGGTGCCTGCTGGGCTGGGCCCCAGGCGTGTGGTCCTCAGACCCCAGGGCTGGGCTGGGCGGCTCTGTGCTGAGCCCACCGGCCTCTTGGCTGGGTGAGGTGGCCGTGCTGGCAGTGCCCAGGCCAGAAGAATGTGACCCCAGGACCCTGTCCCTGCTCGGTCCCCAAGCCCAGGTAGTGGAGGGTGGGGACAGCCTGTCTGCGGCCCTCCAGCTGGCCTGTGTGAGGCAGCTGGCGACTGTCCTCGGGGTGGGAGTCTTGGGGGCCGGTGGCCCGGAAGTGTGAGCAGTGCCCAGGGCGGAAGTACCTGTGCGTGCGCAGTGCGTGGGAGCGAGGGGCGGGCTCAGGACGCGTGAGCCCTGTGCACCAGCGTGGAGCTGGGAGGGTCTGAGATGCGGCCCCCACGCCAGTGTGCCGGGACCGTCACTTGGCGAGGTGGTGAGCCTCCTGAGGCTGGCTGTGGGCCAGGAGTGGGCGAAGGCCTCTCCCTGAGCCCCCCCAGCCCTTCGTGCTCCCTCTGGGCTCGACCCGACCTGCCTGGCCGCCCTCGCCTGCCCTGGAAGTGAACATCGTGTCCCAGTTGCCCAGAGGTGCCCAGGCCCTCCCACGGCACAGCCAGGCACAGCCATTCGGATGGGGGCACGGCCTGCGGTGCCGTGGAGGGCTGGTCACCAGGGAGGGGCCAGGGTGGCACTGGTCGGGAGAGGAACCGGCGCGGACTCCTGGCACATCTCTGGCTGGGACGGCTGGCCGGGGCAGGCCTGTGCGTTTGCAGGGCACACATGCAGGGTGTGAGACTGGGTGGGACCCCCTGGGCTCCAAGGCCCGTGGGGCTGGTGGTGGTGTGGGGGTGGGGGACAGTGAGGCTTCTGCAGGGGGGCCTCTGCCTCCTCTGCCTGCAGGGAAGGTCACCTGAAAGTCGCCTCTGTGTCCCCAGTCCCGCAGCGTGGACAAGCAGCATGCGGTCATCAACTACGATCAGGACAGGGATGAGCACTGGGTGAAGGACCTGGGCAGCCTGAATGGGGTGAGTGTGAGCCCCGCCTCTCTCCACGGCCTCTCCCTCTGCACCCATGTCCTCACCCTCCGCTGTGGCCCCTCGGCCCCTCCAGGACCTTTTCAGGACTCCCCCTGGGCCTGCTAACAAGGGGCGGCGCCCCTCCGGGTGGGGGAGGGGGACAGGCCCCTCAGCTGGCCAGGGGAGGCCTTGGACCACCTACAGGCTAGGAAATGGGGCTCCTGAGGTGGATGGGGCTGTGTGGGTGTATCATGTCCTGGATGGTATGTGACCTCTTGTTGGGGTGCTGGGGACAGGGGGTGACCAGGAGGAAGGCTCTGACTGTTGGAGCAGGGATGGGGTCAGGAGAGGAACCTGGTGTTTGAGGTGGAAATGGGGCAGGAGGGACAGGAGCAGGGGCGAGGCCCAGTGGGGTCTGTGCTGTCTGTCTGTCCTGGAGGTGTTGTGTGGGCGTCTTCATTCTGTCTGTGTCAGGTGGCCAGGAGTCTGCCCCGGGCCACCGTTTTAATAAGAAAACAAAGCCATCAGGCTCTGCCCACTTTTGCTAGAGGGCCCTCCCCTTTCCATCCATGTACAGTCCTGCCCGCCCCGACCCCCACCCTGAGCTGGGGTCCCACAGGAGGCTCAGGCTGGCCCTGCCTGTCATCTCCACCCACTGACTCCCCTCAGGGTGCTCCCCGCTGGGGTCTCAGGCTGTGCTGGGGTCTGCCCCCGGACCCCCTGCTCCCTTCATCCCCCGAGTGGGCTGCAGGGAGGCTGGCGCTGGTCCCCTGATTGGGGGGCCTCAGAAGGGTCCAGGGTGCTGGCCTGGTCTCTGCTCCTCAGCCCCAGGGCAGGCTCTGCAGCGGCCTGTGGTGAACCGGCACCAGCTCTTGCCTGCCCCTTTGCCACGAGGCTCAGACAGGGACAGAGGCTGGCAGGCAGGCGGTTCTGCGGAGCCTCGAAGCTGTCCCTGTGCCAGGCCTGCTGTCCTCTGCTCCCGGCGCGGCGCCCAGGGACCCCCTGCTTCACATAAGTGTGTCCAGAGCCCTCTCCCAGGCCAGCTCCCCGTGCCACGTCTCTGATCACAGCTGCCACGCTCCACGTGGGCACGGCAGAGCCCGCCTGGACACCTGCCCCGAGCCGCCCGCCCTCTGGGCTCCACTCTCCTGGGACGAGTCCTGCTCACTCCCTGTTACTTGCCACACGCGGCGCCATGGCCATGCCTGAGCCACAACTGGTACCTGGGCTGGTCCCAGAGGCCCCCAGGGCCTGCTGGGGTCTTGCATGCTTCTGAGCACAGTGTGGAACTCGGTGGTGGCCCATGAGTCGCTGGCTGTTTGACGCCCCGCGAGCCTGTGTGGGGACGTGTGGTCAGACAGCCGAGCACAGCCTGACCAGCCTGACCAGCCTTGCCATGGGGCCGCCCTCAGGGTGTTGTGGGGTCTGGGTGGGGGCCTGGACCCAGCACGAGTCCGTGAGGACAAAGGGTTTGTTTCACCAGAGCCCCTGGGCACTGGGTGAGGCCGGGCACTTCGACCCCTCCCAGTCCTTCAGTCTGTCCCTTCCCGCCGGGAGGGACAGGGTGGGCCCAGGGCAGGAGGCGAGGAGGGCTCAGGCCCAGTGCCCACCCACCGCTGACGCGGCACGGCCTGCTCCCTCCGCAGACATTCGTGAACGAGGTGCGCATCCCCGACCAGAAGTACATCACGCTGCGGCTCAATGACGTCATCCGCTTCGGCTACGATATCCTTTCCTCCCGCTCCTCCTCCACTCCTGCCTGGTCCCCACGGCCAGCCGCCCGTCATCCTGGGAGCGGGCCGGGCCCTCCGGGGCCACAGCTGGGCTTAGAGGGTGGCCAGGGTGAACCCCAACTCCAGCCCCTGCCTCCCGCCCCCCCAGTCGGCCCTGGGCACCTCTAGCCCGCCCACTGGCCTGAGCTCACAGGGGGCCCCGAGGAACAAGTGAGCCCTCTCTGGGCCCCGGAGTCCCGGGTGACCTGGGGGTTGTGCGGGTGTGGCGTTCTGGGCCCAGAATACGGGTGAGCAGGGGCCGTGCCTCCGCCCCGGGCAGCTGGGCCTGTAGCACGACAGGAGATGATGCTGCTTTTGGCCCAGACTCGAGCTGGCCCACTGGCCGGGGGTGTGGACCTGCCTGCTGGCGGAGGCCCCCCAGCCTAGGAACCTCAGGAAGCTGGGGGCTGCGGGTGGTCTGGCATGGCTGGGCAGGTGTCATAACCTCGTGGGCTCCAGCCTGCCCTGCCCTGGGCTGAGTGGGGGTGGCCCCTGCCTCCCACCCCATCAGGGGCCAGCACATGCTGTGGGCTGTTCCCGAGTGAGGACACGGGCCAGTGTACGCGTGGGTGGGCGTGCTCACAGGTGTCACACTGGGGGGGGCAGGCCTTTGATCTGCTGAGGCCTGAGTTCTGGCCGCCCTGCCTGTTCTCCTTGACGCATGACCACATCCCAACTTGTACGCGCTGGAGCGGGTGCAGCACCGCGTCCCCGAGGAGGCGCTCAGGGTCAGTGCCAGCACGCGGCCGGGCCCCCCTAGGTCCCCACAGCCCTCTGCTCCCCACTGCCTACCCCCCTGGCCAGCAGCCCCAGGCCTCCAGGCCACCTGGACTGGCTTGCTCTACAGGATCACCCAGTCCGGCAGGTGGGGAGACCGCCAGCCCCCCCCAGGCTGAGGCGCGTGGTGGGCGTGGCTGGTGGGTGTGGCCAGCGGGTGTGGCTAGAGCCCTAGAGGCCATGCCTAGCAGCAGCTCCTGTACCTGGAGGACCCTGATCAGGCCCCCATGGGTAGGGGTGGCCAGGAGCGGGGTGGCAGGGTGTTTGGGACTGAAAGTCAGGTTTGAGCGTCCTGAGTCGGGGGCCACAGCAGGTGGGGTGTCACAGAGCATGGATTTGGGGAACCCTGTCCAGAGTTTTACCCAGTAGCCCTGTCGGGGATGGGGACAGGCCTCAGCTCGTGTTCCCAATGAGCTCAAGCAGCACAGGGCCCGTGAGGGCCACAGCCTGTGTGTCCAGCTCTTGACAACTGCAGAGCTCAGCCAGGTGGGGCCCTGGCATGCACAGACACACCCACACACATGTACACATGTATACACGCACACATGTGTACGCGTACACCTACGTGTGCGTGTGAACACACGTACCCACAGTCTCCTCCCCCCACCCAGCCCCTGAGTGGCTGACCCTGTGCCCTGGAGCCCATCCCGCCCCTCTGGTGGGGCTGGGGGTGCCAGTCTCCCCTCCCGTATGCCCCCCCCTCCACCCAACAAGCAGCTCCCCCCTGGAAGCTTTGTGGCCTGAGGGTCCCCACAGGCTTCGGCATGGACCAGGCAGGTCTCGGGCCGTCTGCCCTGGGTGGGGGTCCTCCTAAGGTGGCCAGCTGCCCCTCACGCCCCCGCTGCCCACAGCACGAGAAGTACACCAGCCAGCTGCAGGTGAGCGTCAAGGGTCCGGCTCCCAAGAGGGGCGAGGCCCTGCCAGAGCACGCGCCTTACTGCGAGTCCTCGAACCCCAGGCCGGAGCGGGACCGGAGACCAGGAGCAGGTATGCGGGCATGGCAACGGGGCCGGGTGCGTGCAGGCCTGCCTCCACGCCTCTCCCCAAGCCTTGCTGAGTCACCTCTCCCGGGAGCCGTGTTTTTGCCCCTGCACGACCCCTCACCCCCCACCTCAGCCTCCTGGGCTCACAGCCCCCGGCAGCCACAGCACAGCTGGCTCATGTATGAGCTTAGGTGCTTGTGTACACTGCTTCCACACCTGCAGACACACCCACGCATACCTGCAGACACACCCACACACACCTGCAGACACACCCACCCATGTACACCTGAACCCCTGCAGACACACCCACCCATGCACACCTACACCCTTGCAGACACACCCACCCATGCACCCATGCACCCCTGCAGACACACCCACCCATGCACATCTGCACCCTTGCAGACACACCCACCCATGCACACATGCACCCCTGCACACACACACACACGCACACGCACATGCACATCTGCACCCTGTAGGTATGCCCACCCATGCACCCCTGCAGACATACCCACTGTGCATATCTGTACCCCTTCAGGCACACTCACCTGTGTTTACCTGCACCCCTGCAGACACACCCACCCATGCACACCTGCAGAAACACCCACCTGTGTACCCACATTCCTGCACCCTTGTACATGTACTTGCCTGTGCACACCCCAGCCCCTACAGCTCTGTAGACACACTCACTTTGCGCCCACATTCCTGCATCCTGTGGACATACAAACCTATGCACACCCGCACCCCTGTACCCAGTGTGGTCCAGTCAGACTGGGGAGGCACGCAGCCTGTAGGGTCGCCCATTCGTGACCTGAACCATGTGCAGAGCCTTGGTGAGAGGGGGTCTCTGGGTGCGGCTTCCCCATCAGGCAGACTCTGGAGGCAGAGGCCCTAGGGCAGGGCTAAAGGGAGTGTGTGCTCAGGATGGTGCTGGAAACAGTGCTTCCCTGGGGACCAGCCTCCCTCACAACACCGCCGTGGAGCCCTTGGCACTGGCCAGGGTTCTGGGCAGCTGCAGGTCTGAGCTGGGAGGTGATGCCAGGGGTCCCCCCGCACCCCAATCTCCCCCAGCTCTGGGTCTCTCCTCCTGTCTGTGTGGGGGCCACAGTGACCCAGAGTCCCAATGCTCCCTCTGCAGAAGCGACAGCCTACCGCACACCTCTGTACGGGCAGCCCTCCTGGTGGGGGGAGGATGAAGGCAGCACCCTGCCCGAGGACCGGCACCAGGAGGGGCCATACCCGGGTAGGTCCCGTGAGAGCCCAGAACTCCAGAGGGAGGCCCGGCCTGGAGCTGTCCACCCTGAGGAGATGGGGCTGACAGTCCCAGCAGAGTGGGTGGGTGCGGGTGCCTCCCCTGGGTCCCACCTGAGGACGTGTCCCCCTCACAGAGCGGCCGAAGGAGCTGATGCAACAGGATGGGGACCTCACCGGGACCACGACCAGCTTCCGGGCCCCCACGGAGCCTCAGGGCTACTCCTTCCGCCGGGAGCCCAGCTACTTCGAGATCCCCACGAAGGAGGCCCTGCCGCGGCCTGCCGAGGGGCCGGTGCACGAGGCGCCCACCAAGGACGTGGCGCAGGGCGGGGCGGCGCCCGTGGTGCAGAGCCACGCCTCCTTCACCATTGAGTTCGACGACTGCAGCCCTGGCAAGGTGAAGATCAAAGACCACGTCACCAAGTTCTCCCTGCGGCAGCGGCGGCCCCCGGGCAAGGCCGCGCCCGTGGAGGTGGTCTCTGCCGAGACCAAGGTGGCCGACTGGCTGGTGCAGAATGACCCCAGCCTGCTGCGCCCGGCGGGCCCCGGAGACGACCGCCACAGTGCCAAGAGCGACCTGCCCATGCACACCCGCACCCTGAAGGGTGAGTGCCCCACGGTGGCTGCACCTCCCCCTCCCGTGGGGGACCCTAATCAGCCTGATCGGTTTCAGTTTCTCAGTTCCTGCCCGAGACCCGCCTGGCCCACTGGGGGTGACCAGCATGCTCCAGGCGCTCGCCTGGGTCACGTGTGCGGGGCTCCGTGTGCGGTGTGCACTGTCCCCAGCCACACATGACAGCTGTGGTTGTGTCGGCTGCCCTCGGCCTGATGGGTTGGGGTCCCTGCCCCCAGGCCACAAACACGAGGATGGCACACAGAGCGACTCTGAGGACCCCGTGGCGGCGGCAGCGGCGGCGGCCGGCGTCCCTGTGGAGAACGGGGAGCAGGTGCGGCTGCAGAGGCAGATCAAGCGGGACCCCCAGGAGCTGCTTCACAACCAGCAGGCCTTTGTCATCGAGTTTTTCGACGAGGACACGCCCCGCAAGAAGCGCTCCCAGTCCTTCACACACACCCCGCCCGGGGACCCCAAGGCTGACAAGCGCCGAGGCCCCGGGCCAGTGGACCGGGACCGCCCCGGCGCCCTGACCCGGGGAGCGGGCAGCAGCTCGGGGCCGCAGCGGGCCAGCTCGCTGAAGCGGGAGAAGACAGAGGAGCGGCTGGGGGGCCCCTCGCCCCCTGCCCGGGCCTCCGCCCGCCCCTTTGGCAGCGTAGGGCGCCGCTCCCGCCTGGCCCAGGACTTCATGGCCCAGTGCCTGCGGGACGGCTCCACAGCTGCTCGGCCCAGCCCTGAGAAGACGCCCCCACCACTGCCCACCCCCCTGACGCCCCGTGGGGCCAGCCCCGTGGCCCCCTCACCCCCACCGCCACCCCCCACTGACCCCCAGCTCACCAAGGCGCGCAAGCAGGAGGAGGAGGACAGCCTCAGTGACGCAGGGACCTACACCATCGAGACGGAGGCGCAGGACCAGGAGGTGGAGGAGGCCCGCAAGATGATCGACCAGGTCAGCTGTGGGGGGGTCTGGCCCTGCCGCTCACGTCCCCGCCAGGCCCCTGCTCTCCTGAGCCAAGGGGGGCTCTGTGTGGACGACGAGAGCTGGGTGCTCTGACCCACAGCCCCGCTGTCCCTCCGGCAGGTGTTTGGCGTACTTGAGACCCCTGACCTCTCCAGGGTGTCCTCGGCCGTTTTTCGCCCAGTCATCAGAGGGGACAGAGATGAGTCCGGTGACGGGGTGGTCCCGCGGGCGTCCCTGCTGCAGGAGTTTGCCTCCCGGCCAGTGGGCACAGCCCCCCAGGGGGAGCTCCAGGTACGCAGGCAGCAGAGACAGCGCCAGAGCCCCCGCTGGGCCGCACATCCGTCCCGTGTGCAGCCCTTGGAGGCTCTGGTTCTGCCTGGAGCTGGACTCCAGACCCCAGACGAGGATGGGCCAGGTGGTTTCCTGGGGAGTATACCCGCCTGGCAGGTGGCTGGACCTCGTGTGCAGGGCTGGGCAGGTTCTGAGGCCCGGAGTCAAGTTGGGCACCTGGGTGTGTGCTTCCTACATGCCCAAGTGAGGCAGCGGGCTTCTAGCTGTCTCTGAGTGGGGGACATGTGGCAGGGGGGAGACGGCATTGTGGAGCGGGGGGTGGGGTGGCCGCCTTTGCTGCCCTCTGTGCCCCGGCCCTCCCTGTGGGGCTCACCTCCTCAGACAGTCTCCGCCTTCTCCCTGCAGGACCTCTCGGTGCCCGGCTCCCCTGCAGGTCAGAAGTGGGCGTCCCGCTGGGCCAGTCTGGCTGACAGCTACTCAGACCCCGGCCTGGCAGGTCAGTGGCCCCGGGGCTGCAGTGAGGAGGGGGGTGGCCGGGGTCAGGGCGGTGAGCAGGTCCTGCTCCCGCGTGCCCAGGGCCGGCAGCGGCTCTAACTGGACGCCCTTGCCTTCGCAGAGGACAGTCCCGGGCGCAGAGCGGGGGAGCCCGCGGGGGCCCTGCCTGTGCGCCAGCGGCGACGGCTCCCACAGCTGCCCGGTGACCGGGCGGACGGCCCCCAGCCTGCCAGGAAGAGCGGGCCTGGGCCAGAGCCGGGCAGTGAGCCGGGCAGTGAGCTGGCCAGCCGCCTGTCGGGCCAGGAGGACTTGGAGCCCGACAGCCTCAGTGATGCCAGTGGGTCAGATGGGGGGCGGGGCCCAGAGCCCGGCGGGGGCCCCCCGGAGGGGCTGGTGTGGATGCGGGGCCGGTGCTCGCATCCGGGGGAGCCGGCCCCCAACTCCTTCTTCCCTGGGGACCAGCACGGGGAGGGTGCCTTCCCCCGGAAAACGTCTGTGGCTCCAGGAGAAGCAGAGGGCTCGGGGCGGGCGGCCCAGCCCAGCACCCCCCCCAGGGACAGCGTTTACGTCAGCACCAGCGGCCGGATGGTTATCCAGCTGCAGACCGGGCGGTCTCCAGAGCCTGAGGGCCCCACCCAGGCCAAGGAGGCCGGAGCCTTAAACCGGCAGGAGAGCATCACCAAGGAGCCGGCCAGCGGCCCCTCAGCACCTGGCCAGGTCCCGAACATCTCCAGACACCCCCTCCTGCAGGACTTGGCCGCAGCCCGGGCCTCCCGCATGGACGTCCACCCCCAGGACACCCAGCTGATCCTGAAGGAGACGGAGACGGCCCTGGCGGCCCTGGAGGCCCGCCTGCTCTCCAAGTCTGCAGAGGCGGAGGGCGAGGTGGGCAGCACGCCGGGGCCGCCGGAGGACTCCCTGTCTGGGGACTCGGACGTGGACACGGCCAGCACAGTTAGCCTGCTCAGTGGCAAGAACGGCCCCGGCCCCATGAACTCCCAGCTCATGGGGCTACAGAAGGAAAAGTCGCCGTCCCCGCCGGCGGCGCAGGACCTGGGGGGCATCGCCCTGAGCAGCACCCGGGATTGGCTGTCGGAAAAGCACCATCGCCCAGGGGGCCCGACAGAGGCGGGCTGTGGGGAGCCTGCGCGGCGCCTGGCTGTGCGGCGTGGCCAGGGGCCCCAGGGGGCCCTGGACTGGCCCAACGAAGACCGAGGCTCCAGCCTTGCCCACCCACTTGGCTCAGACACGGTCACCTCTGACCACGAGTCACCCTCGGCCACCAGGGCAGGCCGGCCAGGGTCTCGCCGAAAACCCCCTGCCCCCCCGCCATCCCCGGTGGCCCGGGAAGAGCAGAGCCGCGTGTCGGCCAGTGCCCAGAAGGTGCAGCAGGCGCTGACCCGCTCCAACAGCCTGTCCACTCCGCGGCCCACACGGGCCTCCCGGCTGAGGCGGGCCCGGCTGGGCGACGCCTCGGACACAGAGGCCGCCGACGGGGAGCGGGGCTCCCTGGCCAACCACGAGCCGGTGGGGCGTCCAGCCGCGGAGCAGACGAAGAAGCTGTCGCGCCTGGACATCCTGGCCATGCCCCGGAAGCGGGCAGGCTCCTTCACGGGGCCCAGTGACTCCGAGGCGGCCCCCCCCCGTGCTGGCTTCTCCGGCCGCAGCGTCGAGCTGTCCTGCTCAGGCCGCAAGTCCACCAGGGCCGAGGCCCAGACTGCCGCCCGGAAGACCGCCAGCGCCGCCGCGGCCTCCCGCCAACCCTTCAGCAGGGCCCGCCCGGGCAGTGCCCGATACTCCTCACCCAGTGAGTGCCGTGGGGAGCGGCTCCCTGCGTCAGCCCAGGCCTGGCTGCGGGCCCTGCCCTGCCCCACGGGGCCCCTGTGGCCCCCAGGCTGTCCTGTCGTGAGGGCAGAAGACCCCGACCATGTCCCCATGTCCCGGGTGGAGGGGCTCCTTCCGTCTCCCGGTGGGCCTGCCCCTTGTTCCCTGGGGTTGGACTTCAGGCTGGGACTCCAGTGGCCTGTGAGGCACATGTGCAGGCTGGGCCGTCCCTGGGGGATGGGGGCCCGGGGGGGTGGGGTGGCTGTGAGCCCAGGCCCTGTGGCCAGGGGGCGGCCGTGCCCGTCTGCCCACCCCACACCAGGAGCCTGCAGCCTGTGTGCATCGGGAGGACATGGGCTGCTGTGGCCGCTGGAGCTGGCCTCCTGCCAGGATGGCCGGACCTCCGTGTCCACCCGGCTGGCCCCCTGCTAGGAGCGGGCCCAAGCTCCGAGTGAATTGGTTTAAGGTGTACACACTGCTGCCCCCCCCCCCCACTCCCATGCGGATGCAGCCTGAGAGGAAGGGCCAGGTGGCTGAGGGTCGCAGTTGCTTGGGAACGCTCCCCCCCTTCATTGCGCACGTGTGCAGCCATTGCAGGGGGCGCTCTGAGCAGGCTGGCCAGGAGTCAGGCGTGAAGACCAGGCAGGTTCAAGGGCGGGTTGCGAGGGAGGAGCTTGGGCTCCGCTCTCAGGCCAGGCTGTGCTCAACCACCCTGCAGGCCCAGTCTGGGGCCAGGGCCAGCCCATGTGTGGAGGTTCACCCATTTGGGGTGTGGGCACGACTCTTCCACCACCAAGACCCTGGTTCCCCTCTGATGCACACAGCCTGGCCCGTGGAGACGCCAGGTTGCCCGTCCCTGCATGTGCCTCAGCTGGCGGTGGCCTTGCAGACCCTGGAGCTTAGCTGCTGCTCCTGCTTCAGCCGAAGGGCTTCTGGGCGCAGGGTGCCACCTGCACACTGGGCCCTGCCTGGAGCACCGGGCTGCCATGGTGCTGAGTGCTGCTCTGTTCTGTTCTTGCTCCTGGAACCAATTCACTCCCCAGACACACGGCGCCGGCACCAGGGCTCAGATTGCACGTCCACCTCTGAGGAGGAGTATGGCTCCCACCACGGCTCCCCCAAACATACCCGCTCCCGTGCCTCAACAGCCACGCAGACCCCACGGGCTGGCAGCTCCACCCGGGCCCGACCCCGGGCCCCCGGCCTCCGGGACACAGACGACGAAGAAGAGGAGCCTGACCCCTATGGGTTTATTGTGCAGACGGCGGAGATTGCAGAGATTGCCCGGTGAGTGCACCCATTCACAGTGGGAGGTGTTGACCAAGGGGGCTCCCCTCAAGGCCTAGAGCACCCTGGGGGAGGGGCAGCACTGGGGGCTCTCTTCCCAAATGGGTTTCACAAATACTCTTCGGATGGATGGATGGTTGGATGGGTGAGTGGGTGGAAGGATGGATGAGGCATGAATAATTGGATGGATGGATGGTTGGATGGATGAGGGATGGGCAGTGAGATGGATGGATGGGTGGATAAAGGATAGTTGAATGGGTGGTTGGATGGATGAGGGATGGATGGGTGGATGGATGGTTGGATGAATGAGGGAGGGATAGATGGATGGATGGATGGATGAACGGGTGGTTGGATGGATGAGGGATGGATGGTTGGATGGATGGGTGAACGGGTGGTTGGATGGATGAGAGATGGATGGTTGGATGGATGACGGATGGATGGTCAGATTGATGGATGAAGGATGCATGGGTGGTTGGATGGATGAAAGATGGATGGTTGGATGGATGGATGGTCAGATGGATGGATGAAGGATAGTTGAATGGGTGGTTGGATGGATGAGGGATGATGGATGGATGGATGGTTGGATGGATGAGGGAGGGATGGATGGATGGATGAACGGGTGGTTGGATGGATGGTCAGATGGATGGATGAAGGATGCATGGGTGGTTGGATGGATGAAAGATGGATGGTTGGATGGATGGAGGGTTGTATGGATGAGGGATGGATGGTCAGATGGATGGATGGGTGTATGAAGGATGGATAATTGGATGGATGCACAGATGGATAATTGGATGGATGCACAGATGCAGATATTTCTGGGAGGGTGGGGGACCTCTGGTACAAGGAAGACCTCCACCTAACTAAGGTTTTCATTGGAGATGTACTCCCTCCTGTGGTCATTTAGCAGAAGGATTCACCTCCAAGCCTGGTGCTGGGGAGGATGGTGCAGAGAGGTGAGCAGGGATGAGAGGCGATTTTCATTGAGCAGTGGCCCGTGCTCAATGATTGGGTTCTGCAGGAGGGGTCCTGGGGCTGGGTGGACAGTGAGTGTTTGGTGTTGAGGATGCTGACCTTGAGTCCTAAAGAAGGTAACGCGAGGCAGATGACTCCCAGGAGAGTGGCCCATGTGGGGTTTGGAGACACGGGTGTCACCAGGACAAGGATGGTGACTGAGGCCGTGAGTAGCACGCGGTTGTGTAGAGAGGACATGAGAGTGTGAAGAGAGTGGCCAGAGCCCTCGGTGTGGCCAACGGGTGTTGGGGGAAGCGACCTGTGCAGGGCGGAGGTGAGGAGGGCTGCAGGGCCAGCCGAGGTAGGAGACAGCAGGGCATAGGGTCTGGAAGGAGGCGCTGCAGTCGGGGTGGAGGAGAGGGAGGGGGTGCAGGTCCTGGGTTCCCGAGGTCTCTGCTCCAGGGCTTGCGCTCAAGGTCCAGCCTGTGCCAGGGCAGAGGTAGCAGAGGCCGGGGTGGGCCGCGCAGGCACTGTGGCACAGGTCAGTTTGTCACTAGGAGTTGGAGGGAAGTCCTGTGTGTCCTCGATTAGGAAGGGTGGGGTCCCGGTGAAGAACCCCCATGTTGAGGGGGCTGAGGCAGCCCTGGTGGGGGGCAGAGCTCGGGTAACCGCCCCCAGGCAGGGGCTGGAGGTGCCTCTAGGAATGGACCGGCCTGGGGGCCAGCCAGGAGGCGCCTGGGCAGACTGGGACAGCTGAGGATGGAGACCCGGTCCTCAGGGGACCTGGGGCGACTAGGGTTGGAGTGCAATGGAAATCTGAGGGTGCACCTGTCCCCCCAAGAGTGAGGGGAGCAGCAGTGCCCAGTGATGGGGGATCCTCTGTCCCAAGCCTGGGCTGAGGGCCCCAGGGGTGAAGAACATGCTGGTCGTGGGCCTGAGATACTTTGAGGGCCAGTGATGGAGGATGGAGACTCTTTCTGGGTGGCCTGCGAGCCTCTTGGGGGAAACGTGGGTTACTCGTGGAGAGGGGGGGACCAGGCTGGTGCTGGGGCCTTCGCTTCCCTTGGCCGCTCAATGCTGTGGGGGGGCCCAGCCTTTCTGCATTGTCCTGCCTTTTCCTCTGCCGTTGGGGTCAGAATTGCCTGACCCTCATCTGTGATCCTGCCCCCTCTCCTGCCTCGGTTTCCCTGCCTGCAGAGCAGGGCCTTTGTGGCCCCACTTTTTTTTTTAAAGAATAGTTTGCTGATTTTTTAGAGAGAGTTAAGGGAGAGGGAGAGAAAGAGAGAAACATCAATGTGAGAGAGAAACATCGATTGGCTGCCTCCTGCACACCCCCTACTAGGATTGAGCCCACAACTCGGGCTGTGCCCTGACCGGGAATCGAACCAGCAACCTCCTTGTCCACAGGACGTTGCCCAACTCACTGACCTGCACTGGCCAGGGCTGGCCCCACGTTTCCTATGGCAGCCCTGGCGTTCTGCCCCGGTGGCCAGAGGAGGTGGAGGGGTGCCTGCCTGGGAGCCCGTGCAGGTCTCTGCCCACCCTCCCTGCTTAGGCCCTGCCCCGGCTCCACCCTGCCACTCCTTTGGGATGTGGGACTCCAGCCTCCCGGTGGGAGCCATTGCCAGCGGCCCAGTGGGCGGAGCTTGGGCCAGACTGAAGCCCGCACACCCGGCCCCGCCCTCACTCAGTGGCTGCCTCCCAGGAGGGACTCTGGTGTCCACCTGGGCAGGGCGTCTGTCTGGAGAAGGGGACATGGAGTCCCACCTGGCTCCCCGTCCCCGACCTCCCCTGCACTGGGGCCTGGCTGGGAAGTCCCTCCAGGATCTGCCTTCTTTCCCGATGGCTGCAGACTGAGCCAGACGCTGGTGAAGGACGTGGCCATCCTCGCCCGGGAGATCCATGACGTGGCTGGTGACGGGGACGCGCTGGGCTCCCCAGGGCCCGCACGTAGCCCCTCCCTCAGCAACGTGCCCAACACCCCTGCCTCGACCATCTCAGCCCGAGAGGAGGTGAGCCGGCCCCAGGCCCTCAGCACGAGGTCCTGCTTCCCTGTGCGGCTCCCAGCCACCCGGACACAGGTCTGGGACTTTCTCCGTCAGGGGTGGTGCGTCCGGGGACCTGAGCAGACGGGCCACTGTCACAGCAGGGGAGGGGCCGCTCTCTCCGCCTCCTGGTGGATGGACGGTCCTCCAGCTGACCCTCCCCGCCCCCAGCTGGTGCAGCGCATCCCTGAGGCCAGCCTCAACTTCCAGAAGGTGCCACCTGGCTCCCTGAGCTCTCGGAACTTGGACCAGAACATGAATGACCGCCATGAGGACACCCTGACCAATAGGACTCGGCCTCGGAACCGCGAGGAGGCAGGCACCCACCCCTCCCCACCTGGCTGTGTGCCGGGCTCCCTCTGGGCTGGGGAGTCGGGCTTTCTGGGGGGTACCCGGGCGCTGTGCTGACGCCTGGTCCTCACAGGTGATCTTCGACAGCCTGATGCTGAACCCTGTGTCCCAGCTGTCCCAGGCCATCCGTGAGAACACGGAGCACCTCGCGGAGAAGATGAAGTGAGCGGCTCCCAGATGCCCCGCTGCTGCCGGAGCCGGGGTGGGCGGGCCGGGTGCCCCGTGGACTCCCCTCAGACAGACGGGAGCACTGCTTGTGAGCCAGGACTGGGTGGGCGAGGTCTTCCCAGGGCACTGATGCAGAGGGCACGTGTCCATGGCTCCTGGAACCCTGAGCCTGGGGGAGCCGGAGCCCCCAGGGTGATGCGTACCTCCCTCCACCCCACTCCCTCTCCCCAGTCCTTTCCAGCACTGACCTGGGCCAGGCAGAAATGGACTCTGGTACCAGTCAGCCCAGGTCCTGCTCTGGGCCTCAGTTTCCCCTGGGGCACAGGAGGGCTGGTCTGCCAAGGTGCTCAGGAGCCGGGTCACCACCCTCTGTCTGCCCCCCGCCCCCGGCAGGATCCTCTTCCAGAACTCGGGGCGTGCGTGGGAGGACCTGGAAGCCAGGATCAATGCTGAGAACGAGGTGCCCATCCTGAAGACGTCCAACAAGGTGAGGCTGCGCACCAGGGCCATGCACACCGGCAGGCCCGCCCGCCCAAGGGCCGCAGCCCGCCTGGCTGCAGGGGGTGGGCGCTGGCCCAAGCTGGGACCCTGCCCCTGCCCCTGCCCCTGCCCCTGCCCCGGGGAGAGGCCACCCCTTGGCAGCCCAGCTCCCTTGCTCCATCGCTCCTTCCCGCTGCCCCCAGGAAATCAGCTCCATCCTGAAAGAACTGAGGAGGGTGCAGAAACAGCTGGAAGGTGGGTGCGCCCAGCCTGGGTGGAGGCCCAAGGGCCTCCTGGGAGAACCAGGGGGGGTGAGGGGGGCGGGGCAGGATCCGCAGCCTCCTGACCCTCCCTCCCCTGCAGTCATCAACGCCATTGTGGACCCCAGCGGAAACCTGGACCTGCTGACCACCAGCAGGGGCCCCGCGGGCTCTGGCCAGCTCGGGAAAGGCCGGCCAGCTGCCCAGAGCTCGTCCTCGCCGCCCTCGGCCCTGTCCCCGAGGAGCTTCCCACAGAGGACCACCTGTGGGTCCCCCGGCCTCCCGGACCCTGCCTTCCTCCCTGACTTCCTCCCGGACTCGGAGAGGTTCCTGATCTAGGGGGTGGGGCCGGGGAGGCCCCTGTGTGCTCGTTCCCGTGCCTCCCACTCCCCTGTCCCGACCTCAGCCCCTCCCGGCTGTGCCAGTTCACCATGAAGACCCCCACATGTGCCATAAACCCACAGGCGGTGCCGCACCCCGCCCCTCTCAGCTCCCAGCCAGCCCCCCACCCTGCCGGCCTCATGGCCCAGCTCCTGCCGTGGCCACTGCCAAGGGCCGGCGTCCCGGGGTGTGTCCTGCGCCCTCTGCATCGCTGTTATTTTCGTCTTTAGTTTTGAAGGAAAGAGTAGTTTGTTCCGTTCCAGCAGCCTCCCTGCCTGGAGGGGCCCTCCTGCCTCACGGGTTGGGAGCTTGTGCTTACCTGTCGCGTCCCCGTGTGCTGGCCGGGCCAGGCAGAGGAAGGGGCCTGTCCGTGGGATCATTCAGTGCCAAACGGAGCTGGGAGGGGCTCGGCACCCCAGGACTTAAGGGTGCAGGCCAGGCGGGGTGCTGCCTGCCACCACGCTGCCCCAGAGTCCTGCGGCCAGGGCAGGGACGCGGTTGTGGAGACGTTTGGGGCAGGAACCCCAGCACTTCGAGCCTTTGGTGCCAACACATCTGCAAACCCAAGCGTGCCAGCTGCAGCAGGGGAGGCTGCTGGGCGTGCCGGCCCCGCACAGGCGCATGCCCGTGCCCCACGCCCGCTCAGCCAGCCCACCTGCACGTGCAGGGCCTGTCCCGGCCATACTGGGCCCTGCGCTGGGAAGCTGGTGGTCCCGGGCCAGGCGGAGATGAGCGCCGGGACAAAGTGGCTGCGACACACTGCCCGTCCTGGGCGCTGGGCATTAATGGGGCCCCTACAGGTAGCTCAGGCCCCCGCAGGCCCCCAGTCCCGTGGGGTGGGGGTAGGGATAGGCCCCAGGAGTTTTGTTTTCTCAGGATTCTGTTGGTGGGAACATGCCAGGCAGCCCCTCCCGGGGGCCTGTTTCTGGAGCCTCTAAGCCAAAGAGCCTGTCTGTGTGTGGGGGTGTCCCACCTCGACGAGAGTGGTGTGGGTGCGCTGTGTACCCGCCTGGCATCTGCACGAGTGTCATTGCAGGAGCGACCGATGGCTGGGGGGCCACTGCAGCTGGACGGAGCCACACGGCCGCTGTGGCTCTGTGTTTACATGTGGCGTCCAGTGTGTGGCCTGGGCCCCACCTGATGTTTACGTGTGTGAGTGGCAGTGGGGTCCCCGCCTGGCCCCCACCCCGAGAGCCCACTGTGTCACTCGGAGGAGGTGCTAGCCGCAGTCCCCGTCCTGCATGCTCTCTCCAGCCCGTCCCGCAGACAGGCAGTGGTCACCGCGGCCCTGCCCACCGTGCCCGCTCCATCCGCACCCACCCCGGGAATCACTGTACAACTTTTTTATTCATAGATCTGTGTCCCCCCTCCAGCCCTCGACCTGGGATCGGTAACTTATTTGTCTGGCTTCGCGGAGGCTCCTCTGTGTTCGTCCTCAGGTGGTCTATGGGTGTCTTTCCGAAAATGGTTATTTTATATGATTTGTCATGGAATTTGTGCTAATAAATCATTCATTCTATCACGTGGCAACACCCTGGCATCATCGCCTTGGCCTCCTTTCTCGCCGGTGGCCTTTGGCCAGGGCAGGGAGTGCTTTGCCCAAGAGGTCTCCCTTCCTGGGCCGGAAACTGGTTTGACCCCAAGACCAGGGACACTGCAATGCAGCGACGTCGCCACCAGGTGGCAGCCTAAGCGAGAAAGGAAAGCGGAAATTTCCAGATGTTCACCCCGCAAAGAGAAAAGTTACTTTATTCCTGCCGGCCAGGCTGCAAGGTCCCAGGGCTCTTCTCAAAAGCAGGCTGTGCTGAGGGTCACGGGCTCTGTGCCGAGCCAGCTCCTCCCTTTGGAGTGCTGTCTGAACACCCACTGTGCACTTTACAGGTGTAGACACGTTCTCTGCGTGGGCTCTGTCCACTTGCTCTGCTCGTTGCTGGGGGCCGTGCAAATGTCTGCCACGGTCACGGTGACGAGTTCCCTTTCCGTTCTGTTAGCTTCCTTTATGCATTTCGAAGCTTTGTTATTCGGTGCCTACGATTGAGAGTCGTTAAATCCCAGGACGATGCTCCCGCTTATTCTGAAGTCTTCTTTATCTCTACTTACCTTTCTTACCTTAAGCCTGCTTTGTCTGATATTAGCAGGGGCATGCTGGCTATTTTTTTCTTTTCTGGTTAGTGTCATAAGTGACCCTTTTCCATTCTTTTATGTACACTTCTGCAGGCTTTGTTTTTAAAAAATCAGCCTGACAATATTTGTCTTCTAATCAGAGCACTTTAAATACATTTATTGTAATTACCAATGTATTTCGTTTTAAATACGCTATATTATCTGTGTTATTTGTACCATTTTTCTCCCTTTTTTCTTTCTGAGGGTCAATCAAGAGTTTTTTCTTCTTATTTCATGTACCCATTTGCCTGCTATTAACACTCTCAGTATACTCTCAGCCGTTACCCAAACAATTATAAAATTCATTCTTCACTTACTATGTTCTGATGTAAATTGTTCTTTTTACTACTTCTGAGCAGTTATAAAATATTTACAAAGATAAAATGCACTCATAAAACCCACCTTTCATGAATCAGGGCTTAATGTAAAATTGTACTTTTAGCACATCCTGGACCACGTGAACTCCTGACACGTTAACTCTGTCCGCCTCCCGATGTCTGTGCTGTTGTGATCCGGCATTTTAACTTCGCCACGTTGTAAACCCTACACTAGTCTCGTATTACGTCCCCAGACCCCGCGCACTTCAGCTCCTCAGTGCATTTGCCCTCTGGTGCTCTTCTTTCCCTGCTCGTGTACATGTGTCTGTCTGGTCATTTTCCAAAAGATCGCCTTTGGTTTCGATTTGCTTTGTCTTGTTTTCCAAGTGTAGGTTTGCTGTGATACAATCTCTCAGCTTCTCGGTGTTTGGAAATGTTTTTATTTTGACTTCCACTTGATATAGTAGCTAAGTTGGCCGTGTTTCAGTGCTTAAAACACAGCATCCATTGTCTTCCAGCTTCCATTGCTCATGTGGAGAAGTCAAACACTCCTCGTTGCCTCTCTGAGGCAGTGTCTTTCTTGTGTGGATTTTCTCTGTTATTAGGTGTTTGGTGGTTAAACTTACTACAGTGTGCATAGGAGTATCTTTGTACTTATCTGTGTTGAACTTTGTAGCACTTCTTGGATTAATGGCCTGTGTCTTTCACCAGTTGTGAAAAACCTCACCCATTTTCTCTTCAGATGTTGTTCTGCTGTATTTCCCACCTTCCCTTCCATGGACTCAGTTTTTACATGTGTCAGGCCTTTGTACCATGTTCCACATGTCTCTGACATTCTTCTCTATATTTTCGTTCAAAGTGCCTCCAGGTTGATAGGTATCCCTGGTTCCTGCAGAAGCAAATGAAAAGCATCTTTAGAGAAAGACCTTTTGGGCCCAGGACCCTCAGCAGCCTCTAGGTTAAGTCAGCCAATGGTAAACTCACTACCCAGTCATAAAATACACATTGAATGACACCAGCACAGAATAACACACAAAAATGGAATAGAAAAAAAAATGGTTTAAAAAAGGAAAAGGAAATAAAACGTAGCTGGCTAGAGTTGGAAAAGTATCATATTGAAAACTAATGACTGGAAATAAAGTTTTTAAAAACCTCAATAAGAGAGTTAAACTGTAGATTAGATGCAGCTAAAACAAAAATTGGTCAACTGCAAGAAAGACAAGAGGAAAGCATCCAGAGCATCCAAGGAAACAGAATGGAAAACAGGTTAATGTGCATGGAGGATTGTGTGACAAAATATAATACACGTGTGCAGAGTTCCTGAGCAAGGGGATGGGGAGAAGAAATATTCAGAATTGGGACAGGCATGTAATACGGGTTGAATTGTGTCACTCCCGCCTCCCCAAAAGATGCTAAAGTCCAAATGCCCAATTCCTGTGAATATGACCTTATTTGGAAAAAAGGTCTTTACAGATGATCAAGTTAAGATGAGGTCATCAGGGTTGACCCTAATCCACCATGACTGGTGTCCTTATAGGAAGGGGGAATTTGGACACAGAGACAGAGGGGCACAGAAGGAAGGCAAATGTGTAGACACAGAGAATGCCATGTACAAGCAAGGGGCACCTGAGAATATCAGAAATTAGTGGAGAAGCTGGGAATAGGTTCCCCTCATGGCCCTCAGAGGGAACCAGCCCTGCTGGCACCTTGACTTGGGTTTTCTAATCTCCAGAACTGAGACAAATGTCTGTGTTTAAGCCACCCAGACTGTGGTACTTTGTGACAACAGTCCTAGCAAACGAGTAGATGTATCCACAGATAAAGGAAGTTTCACGTGTGCCAAACAGGATTTTAAAAAGGAAACAACACCTAGTTTCATCATGGTAACACTGAAGGACCCCAGAGATAGACAACCACAGAGTAAAGACAGAGTCCTTACAAAGCAATGACAGCAGATTTCTCAACAACAACAACAGAACTCTGAAGACCTCAGATTTCCCGAGGAAGAAACTGCCAATCAGGAATTGTATACTTAGGAAAAGGACCCTTCAATAATGATGGAAAGTTAGAGACATTTTCATGTTACTGAAAATTTACTCCCCAATCAAGGCAAATAATAGACAACCAAGAATTTAATTTAATTTAATTATTTATTTATTTATTTATTTATTTTTAATCCTCACCCGAGGACATTTCTCCATTTTTTGTACAGATAGAGTGGGAGGGAGAGAGAGGAAGAGAGAGAGAGAGAGAGAGAGAAACATCAATGTGAAAGGGACACATCGAGTGGCTGCCACCCGCACGACCAACCAGGGCCGGGGACAAACTGCAACCGAAGTACGTGCCCTTAGCGGGAACTGAACCCGGGTCTCTCCGGACCGCAGGCTGACGCTCTAACCGCTGAGCCAAACCGGCCAGGGCAACAACCAAGAATTTTATATCCAGCTAATTTAGCATTCAAGTTGATTCTAAAGGAGGTATTCCAGGAAGAAGGACAATGGTCACAGAGGGAGGGTCTAAAATAAAACAAGGAATATGACTAGATAAATTGGCAAAAGTGGATAATTCTAAACATACCCTAACTGATAAAAGAATTACAAGGTGTGCCCTGGCCAGTTTGGCTCAGTGGTCAGCTGTGGACCAAAGATTCCTGGGTTTGGTTCTGGTCAAGGGCATGTACCTTGGTTGCTGTCTGTCCCCGGCCTCGGTTGGGGTCGTGCGGGTGGCAGCCAGTTGATGTGTCTCTCTCACATCAATATTTCTCTGTCTCTCTCTCCTTCCCTTTCTCCCACTCTGTCTGAAGATAGATATAAAAATATCCTCGGGTGAGGATTAAAAAATAATTATAAGGTGTATAACTTATGGGGCTTAAAATATAATAAAAGCATTGCAAGAATTTGATACAATTAAGGACTATTAGCTTGATCAGAAGTGACCCTTTGTGTTGTAATTTCATAGGAAATTTATTTATTTAGAAATGCACACTAAAGTAATTAGGAGTGAAACGCCATTTGTGTCCTCTTTTACTTTAAAATTCCTTAGCAGAAATATCAGTGAAGCAGGTGTGACCGTGTCGATAGTTGTGGAATCAAAATTGTGAGCTTATGGTAGTTCATTGCATCGTCCTCGCCACTTTCCACACGACTGAGAAAGAACTGTTTTAAAAATAAAAAATACCAAAAAACATATATAAAACAAATTAAAAAACATAAGCAAAGTAAGGGAAGGTTTTGCTTCACCTAAAATTGACAGTTCAGAATATAAACTAAATCCTCCAAATGTGCCCTCGCCGGTTTGGCTCAGTGGTTAGAGCGTCGGCCTGCGGTCTGGAGAGACCCGGGTTCGGTTCCCGCTAAGGGTATGTACCTCAGTTGCAGTTTGTCCTCGGCCCTGGTCGGTTGTGCGGGTGGCAGCCACTCGATGTGTTCCTTTCACATCGATATTTCTCTCTCTCTCTCTGTTCCTCTCTCTCTCTCCCACTCTACCTGAACAAAAAATGGAAAAATGTCCTCGGGTGAGGATAAAAAAAAAAAAAAAAAATCCTCCAAATGTGTAAGAAAAAGTCAAGCCATTTGACCCAGTGATCCCACTTCTAGGAATATATTCTAAGAAGCCTGAAACAGAAAGAATATATGTACCCCCATGTTTGTAGCAGCCCTATTTACAATAGCTAAGATCTGGAAACAGCCCAAGTGTCCATCAGTAGATGAGTGGATAAAAAAGCAGTGGTACATATACACAATGGAGTACTATGCAGCTGTAAGAAAGGAAGATCTCTTATCCTTTGAGATGACATGCAGGGACCTGGAAAGTATTATCCTAAGTGAAACAAGCCAAGCAGAAAAAGACAAATACCACATGATCTCACTTTTTTTTTGAATATAATGAACATAACAGCCTGAGGAATAGGGTAGACCCAGAGATGTGGAAGTAGGGTACAGACTGACAACCCTCAGAAGAGGGAGAGGTGGGGGGAGGGAAGAGATAAACCACAGAACTTATATGCATGTATGCATAACCAATGGACATGGACAACAAAGCTGGGGACGGGGTGGGGGGATGGGGAAGGGGGTGTCAATGGGGTAAAAAAGGAGAAACATCTGTAACAAAAATAAAATTAAAAAAAAAAAAATTTAGCCCTGGCCGGTTTGGCTCAGCGGTTGGAGCGTAGGCCTGCAATACAGAGAGACCTGGGTTCGGTTCCCGCTAAGGGCATGTACCTCGGTTGCAGTTTGTCCCCGGCCCTGGTTGGTCGTGCGGGTGGTAGCCACTCGATGTGTCCCTTCACGTCGATGTTTCTCTCTCCTCTCTCTTCCTCTCTCTCCCTCCCACTCTATCTGAACAAAAAATGGAAAAAAATGTCCTCGGGTGAGGATAAAAAAAAAAAAATTTAAACATGGGCCAAAGACAAAAATAGGGCTTCACAGGAGAGGAGGTCCGCGGGACTGGCAAACACGAAAACACTCAGCATCGTTCACAGTCAGCCTCCTCCGGGCCCCAGTTTTGCACCCGCCAGGCTCGTGAACCTAAAACGTCTGACACCACCGTGTGTTGGAGGAGCGAACAGCAGCCACCGTAATAACACCCTGGTGCTGCTGCCCTGGAAGGTGAGGATGGGGACGCTTGTTAACAAAGAGAACTGGGTCAGGCATCCAGCAACCCAGCCAGAGAGCAGAGGCTGCCCTTGCTCTGTCCTGAAGATGACCCCAAGGCCAGACTGGGGCAGAGGGGCCGGGAAGAAAGTGAAGGGATCTGGGTTCCGTCATTTCTTGTTCACTTCCCAGTCCACTCACACTGTCCCCTGGGCTTCCATGTTGACCCTGACCTTGGGAACGTCTACCCTTCTGAGTGGTGGGTGGTCACCCAGAGACCAGCACCCTGACAAGGCCCCCTGCAGCCACTGCCCTGAATGGGAACTGGCAAAGGGGAGATAGAGCAGACACGAGACCTCATCCAAAGTAAGGGGGCTAGTCTAAAGGTGAAGTCTCCAGGGAGCCCCAGTTGGAGGGGTAAAGGGTGAGGCAGAGCCCCTTGCTGAGACTGAGAACTGGCACGCTCTGGTCAGGCCTGCCTTTTCAGACAGGCCAACGAGCAATCCCACCTGCGTCCTCCAGGCTGGAGTTCCTAGCTGCCTCCGTTTCCCAGCTTCCCATGCAGCTAGATGCAGTCATGTGACTAATTTCTAGGTCATGAAATATAAGTAGAAGTGTCCTGTGGGACTCCAGGAAGTCTCTGGGACGTCCTTTCTGCTCTGCTAGGAACATGGAGGTGATGGCTGAGCTCAAGCAGCCATCGTGGGGCCATGAGGCTGCTGGCCAACCCTAGGGACACACTGAGAGCTGGAGGGACCTGGCTTCCATTGCTGTGGAGCCACCATTTGTAGACCACCAGCCCCTGAACTCGGTTAGTGTCAGAGGGAAATAAAATCTCACGTGAGCCATGATTCCTTGCGTCCCTGTGGCCTGCGTGGGGCCTAACTGGCACAGGCTATGCCTGGAAGGTAGAAGAAAGAGCACTTTTTCTCTGGAGGTGAAAGTTCTCAGCCTCAGCCTCGAGACTCATCTCACCCCAGATGTCATCAACCGGGGGTGCAGAGCGAGATGCTCAAGACTAGAAGGAAGTGGCCAAAGGGGAAGCAGCCAGCTGCAGAGAGGAGGCCAGTGGGCGGGGTGGAGGCAGTGGGGAGCCCGCCCAGAGAGCTGAGGGCTGCAGTCGGGCTGGAGCCAAGATGGGTGCCAAGGCCGGACCCCCAGAGGTAAGTGCCAGTGGAGCCAGGGCGAGGTGGGGGAGCCAGGGCGAGGCCCTAGGAAGAGATCTGTGGTCCTCCTCCCCGGCCCCATGCTGCCAGTAACCCCAGGCCCAGAGGGTCACGGAGCCAGCAGCTGGGACTGCAGACCACCCGTTCCTCCCGTTTCTGCTGCAGGACCCCTGGGGCCTCAGGGTCTCCAGCCAGCTGACAGCAGGCCCCCTGTCCCGGCCTGGGCCCGGCAGCGGAGACCTCTGATGCCTGCAGAGCCCACGGCCGCCCACATGGGGCTGGGGCTCAGCTGCTCGGGGGGCTCCCAGCCCATCGCAGCCCTGGGACACCAGATCTAGTGGGTCATTCTCTCTCAACGGCTGGTCCCACCGCAGGAACACACAGGGTCCCCAGGCCTGAGCGAGTGAACAGGTCTGCACCCGCGTCGCGCCATCCTGGTGGCCAACCTCCTCCGTTCCCATGTAGTTCCCAATGGCCAAGAGGGGGATGACATGCTTGGGCGGTGCCTTGGATGGGCCCCAAGTCCCAGGCGGAGCTGTGTTCTGACCTGCCTGTCTGCCTGAAGCCCACGGTGGACACAGGCCTTTCCCCGTGGGGTGGGGTCACCCCCAGGGCCCCCGTTGCCCATCCCCTCCCCAGACGCCACACTAATTGCCTCCCCTGAGAGTTTATGAAGGCCGAATGCTGGGGGTCCCTACTCAGTCCAAGCCCCTAGACAGCTACACAGGGTCCTCACTCAGCCCAAGCCCCTAGACAGCATCTCGGGGTCCCCACTCAGCCCACTCCCCCTCTGACAGTGTTGTGGGGTCCCTGACTCGGCCCACGCTGGGCCTCTGTCCTCTCCGCGTGGCCCTCCCCAGCCGGGACAAGGGCTGGAGCTGAGGGGCCCAGGGCCCAGGAAGAAGGGAAGCAGCTATTTATAGTCTGTACTGAGGACCAAGCTCAAAAGCAGAACTGACTCCTTCACTCACTGCTCTTGTGGTTGAAACCAGGAACCGAGACCCAGTACCCAGATACCCACCGAGAGGGTGACCGAGAGAGGGGTGCACAGCCGGTCACACACACAGATACCCAGAAACACACAGACAGAAAAACAGCCACACAGACACACACACACACACAGACACACACACAGACACATACACACACACACACACACACACACACACACAGACACAGAAACACACACACACACAGACACATACACAGAAACACACACACACACAGAAACACACAGACACACACACAGAAACACACACACACACACAGACACATACACACACACACACATACACAGAAACACACACACACAGATACACACAGACAAACACCAGTGAAAGGTGACAGGCTCCTCCAGCTTCAGGCCGGACTGTCTGGGGTGGGGCAGCGGCGTGGAGCCTCACACGGTGGGTGTGACCTTGGGCAGGAGTGGGGAAGCCTCAGGGCTTTGAGGCGCCTGCAGGGCCCCACACGGGGTGGCACTGTGGCCAGAGCTGCGGGTGGCGCCAGGCTGCTCTGCGCATGTGCTGAGACCGCAGAGCCTCGGTGACCCTCACGGCCCTGCTCCACACTGCCCCACAGCCCACGGAGCGAAGAAGTGGGCTCGGCAGGACTGGGGACCAAGGGAGGGGCTCAGCAGCCTCACAGGGCCTGTGGGCAGAACGGTGAGGACAAAACCAGCCATGGGGGAGCCTCGGGGCACCCCAACCTGAGGGCTACTCGGCACCTGCCCAAATCCCCCTGGTTGGGGAGACCTGGAAGGCCAGCCAGTGGCCACATGGCTACCTGGTCCCACCAACACAGGGTTCGGGTCCTGCTCAGCCCCCTCCGCCCCCTCCTGCCTGACCCCGCCCGGCTGCAGCCTGGCCCCCGGGAGCTGAGTACCCCTTCGTGCTGCCTCCTCCAGCTGCAGGTGCTGGGGACGCTGGCCGTGCTGTGGCTTGGCGGTGTGACTCTCATCTACCTCCTCTGGCAAGGGCCCTGTCCGCCCACCCGGGGCCAGCTGCACCCTGAGGAAGGGCCCGCCAGGCCCCAGGACTGTGGCTCCGGCCCGGCCTCGGAGCCCCTGGGAGGGGAGGCCCAGCAGCAACAGCCAGACGCCTGCCGGTGAGTGGGCCCGGGTCTCAGCCCTGGCCGCCCTGTGCTCCCGGGAGAGCTCCCGGGGCCTGAGCACGCCCGCTGCCAGCTCCTCTTGGCAGGTGCAAGGGCCAGGAGGGTGGCGGGAGGAGAGCCGGGAGTGGGCGGGGAGGCCCCGGGCCGGGAACCGGGTGGGCTCGGGTGCTCTTTGCAGCAAACACCAGGTGCCACCTGGGGGCTCTGACAAGGCAGGTGAACCTGGTCCTACCTGGGCTGAGGTGTGGCGCCTTCCCGGCCCAGCCCTGGGAGTGACGTCTGCCCCCATAGGTGGGCCCACACTGCCACCTCTGGGCCAGCCCTTCCCTCTGGGTCAGCCCTGGCCACCTCCACGGGCAGCAGCTCCCCTAGGACAGCCTCTCAGACGGATGGGGCCTGGGCCCCCACCTGCCCAGCCCTAAGACCCCCCCTGGCAGCTCCTGGGTGTTACCATCGCTGAAGGCTGGCTGCGCCTCCCTGCACCTGGGCCTGGGCTCCGCCCTGGGGCCACGCGGGCAGCCCCTCTGGTCTGACCAGCGGGAGGAGAAGGGTGGTTGGAAGCAGGCTGGTGCTCTAGAACTCACGCATGGCCCCCGCCCCCCGCAGGCTGGTCCTCGTGGAAAGCAGCCCCCAGGACATGCCCTTTGCATCTGGCAGCCCCTCCGCCCAGCCCCTGGCCCAGGCCTGGCTGCAGCTGCTGGACGCCGCCCAGGAGAGCGTCCACATCGCCTCCTACTACTGGTCTCTCACGGGCTCTGACATCGGGGTGCAGGACCCATCATCGCAACCGGTGCGCCCCACCCCCACACAGCAGCCTGGCCCGCGGCCCGTCAGTCTGACACTGAGCTGGGGACGGTCTGGGTCCTTCCTAGTGGGAGGCAGCAGAGGGCTGGCCTGGGCGACAGCTCACTGGGGCCCTGGGCTTTGCAGGGAGAGGCCCTTCTGCAGAAGCTGCAGCAGACCCTGGACAGGAATGTCTCCCTGGCTGTGGCCACCAGCCACCCGACGCTGGCCAGGAACTCCACCGACCTGAAGATGCTGGCCGCCCGGGGTAGGTCCTGCCCAGGGACTGCCGGGGGGGTGCGTGGGCTGACTCACTGGCGCGTGGGCAGGGACAGGACAGTGGAGCCGCTGCGGGGAGGCCAGAGAACACCCTGTGCTTCCCCGGACCTGGAAGGGCAGGAGCTTCGTGGGACTGGGCTGGTCACAAAGGTCCAGGAGTGTCATTTCCATGGGTGCACGGAGGGTGGCCTGGGGTCCCGCAGAGCCCCGCTGCCCGGACCTGTGTGGGGAGGCCAGCCAGGCAGCAGGAGGCAGCCCGGTGATCGGACAAGGAGGCCCTGGAGCCAGGCTGCCCCGGCAGCTCTCGGCCAGTCAGCCTCAGGCTCCCCACCTGTGAAACGGGTGATGGCAGGGTCAACCTAGCAGGGCTGTCGTGAGGATGAGAGTCACCCCAGCTGTAAAGACCTGAGGCTCCCCGGGAAGTCGGTTCACCCTGTCGTCCTGGACTCTTCGGCTAGGTGCCCAGGTTCGATACGTGCCCATGGGGCATCTCACCAGGGGCGTTCTGCACTCCAAATTCTGGGTCGTGGACGGGCGGCATGTCTACCTGGGCAGTGCCAACATGGACTGGCGGTCCCTGACACAGGTGAGTCCCAGAGCCCAGACGGGGTGACGCCCTCTGGAGCTTGTCCCGGTCCCTCACTCTGGGGGCTTTGCCTGGTGTCCCCTGCAGCCAGTCACCAAAGGGAACTCTGGGTGACCAGCCATGTCTATAACTGTCATGGGCCCCACCGAGGCTGATTCCGTAAGTTACAGAGTCCCACGCGGCCACCTCATTTAACCCATCCGTCCGGCAAGGCCGCATCCCTTCTGGGGAAAGCAGTGCCCTGAACCCCTTCCGAGGGTGCGGGGGGGGGGGGGCGCCTGGGCTTAGCGCTTGGCCGTGAAGAGAAAAAGGATCTTTTCTTTCTTTTACGCATCTTCCATCGTTTTTTGGAAAATAAACACGCATCGCTTTGGTCCTTGGAAGCAAATGTTCAGGACAAGCACCCGAACATTGCTGGGCAACCCCCTAGAGCCCCCCAGCAGTCTGTCTACTAGGGAGTCCTCCTGCGATGTTGCCAGGAACCGCCTGCTGGTGTGGGGGCTGCCCCTGCCCGGCAGCCCTGGCCAGGGGGGCCCCTCCCGCAGCCGCTGCCCTGTCCCTGCAGGTGAAGGAGCTGGGAGCAGTCATCTCCAATTGCAGCCGCCTGGCCCGGGACCTGGAGAAGACCTTCCAGACCTACTGGGTGCTGGGGGCACCCAAGGCTGTGCTCCCCAAACACTGGCCTCACAACTTCTCTTCCCACATCAACCACTTCCAGCCCCTCCGGGCCCACTTTGATGGGGTGCCCACCACCGCCTACTTCTCAGTAAGAGGGACACCCAGACCCACATGGAGCCCTGCTCCGCCCTGGACTGCCCTGCAGCCCCCACAGCGCCTGCTGTGTCCGCAGGGAGACAGTCGGGGAGCCAGCGCACTGGCCAGGCTGTGGCCCGGGGGGAGGGAAATCCCAGCGGTGCCAGGAGGCGGGCCCAGCTCCAGGGACAGGTGGCCTGGCAGGTGCCTCGGGGGTCTCCAAACACTCTGCCAGGTGGGGTCAAGGGCTCCCGCTCAGGACTGGGGAGGTTGGGGGAGCGCCAGCTCATCAGTGCCCCTGCCACTCTGTGGGGAAGGAAGGAAGAAGGTGGCCGGCCATGCCCCTCAGCAGATGCCCTTCCCTCAGGGTCTAGCCCTCCAGCCAGGCCTCAGCAGAGACCTGGTGTCAGGGCAGGGATGTGGCCCTAGACGTGGGGTCGCCCTGAGCAGGTGTGAAGCCCTGCCTGGCACAGGGGACCCGGCTTTCTCAGGGAAGTCAGGGCCAGCCCCTCCCCCCACCTCCCCAGGCAGCACCTGCCCTGCTGGATCCCAAACCCTGGAGGGCGGGTGCACGGAGGGCTCCCAGGTCCTGGAGCCAGGGGTTCAGAACAGGGGCAGTGCCCTCAGGGACCTCTCTCCCAAACAGGCGTCACCGCCCCAGCTCTGCCCCCACGGCCGCACGCGGGACCTGGACGCACTGCTGATGGTGATGCGGGAGGCGCGGCAGTTCATCTACGCCTCGGTGATGGACTACTTCCCCACCACGCGCTTCAGCCACCCTGCCAGGTGGGCTGGGCGGGAGCGGCGCCCTGGAGGGCAGCTCCGGGCGTGTCCCCCTCCTGCCGGTCGGCCCGGGGACTTGACCTTCCACCCCCCCAGGTACTGGCCAGTGCTGGACAACGCGCTGCGGGAGGTGGCCTTTGACAGGCACGTGCAGGTGCGTCTGCTGGTCAGCTGTGGGCTCAACACAGACCCCCGGATGCGTCCTTACCTGCAGTCCCTGCAGGCCTTCAGCAACCCCGCGGCCAATATCTCCGTGGACGTGGTGAGGACCCACTCGGGGCCGGGCTGGGAGCAGGTGGCCCTCCTCCCCTCCCTGACATGCTGCCTCTCTGTCCCCAAAGAAAGTCTTCATCGTGCCCGTGGGGAACCACTCCAACATCCCGTTCAGCAGGGTGAACCACAGCAAGTTCATGGTCACAGAGAAGGCGGCCTACATAGGTGAGGGGCGGGCAGGGCTGTAGGCCCCGGGAGTCTGAGGGGCACCAGGCGAGCGGCAGGTCGCACAGAGGCCACACAGACCTGCAGAAGCAGGACGTGCCCTGGGCCTGGCCAGGCCTGGGTGCCGACGGGGGCCGGGCTCTTAGCTCAGAGGACAGAGGCTGCTGAGGGATTCTCCGTGCAGCTCTGAGGACATGCAACCAGCCCGGCGGTCCCCTGTCCCCACGGGACTGGGCCAGGACGGAGGGGTCTGTGTGAGTCCAGGCGCCCAGCGTCTTTCCTGCCCATCCCCACAGGCACCTCCAACTGGTCGGAAGATTACTTCAGCAGCACCTCGGGTGTGGGCCTGGTGGTCAGCCAGAGGCCCCCCGGCGCCGGGCCCGGCGTGAGCACCGTGCAGCAGCAGCTGCGGCAACTCTTCGAGCGAGACTGGAGCTCCCGCTACGCCGTGGGCCTGGACAGGCAAGCCCAGGACTGTACGTGGAAGGGCTGAAGTCCAGCCCTTCCTGGCTCCTGGCCTTCACAGCTCTTGGGCACTGCTCCCCACCAGGCCTTCCAGTCTGCCCGCCCCCCACCACTGCATCTGGACTCAAGCAGCTCCTTTCCCGCAGCCGCGGTCAGGGTCAAGACTGCCCAGTGCCCAGTGCTGAGAAATGTTTGCTCTCCCCCTGCTGTACAAATACAGCCCCCTTAAGCCCTGCCCCCTCCAGGGAGCCCTCCAGGGTGCCTCTCCTGATTCCCACAGAACTGCAATCCTGGCCTACAGAGGGGCCTTTGGAGTATGTGTGTCTCCTCGTCGCTCTGTGTGCGTCTAGCCTGGGGCTGGAGTTCAAAACCCTGACCCTGCAAGGAGCCGTGTCCACATGGTAGCCGGGCAAGGCGGGCCACATGTCTGCCACGGGGGCCCTGACTCCTCAGTGCTCAGGAACCTGGGGGCATGGACGTAGGCCAGATCCATTGGCTGGAGGGGAGACTGGCCCCCTGACCGCCGGGTGTGTCCTGGGCAGGGGTTGGTGCAGCAGGGTGGAGGCCAGACCTGTGCGGTGGGACTGGAGGAGACGGGGTGGGGGTGGGGCTGGGACTGTGGGGTATAGTGAGGCGGACTTAGGACTGAGCTGGGGGAGGGTAAAGCCGAGCTGGGTTGGGGCCCGGATGCAGCCCCACTGGAGCTCACCCTACCCCGGGAATAACCTGGGCACCTGCCCTGCAGAGGTAGGGTCTGAATTCGGTTCCAGCCCTTCGGTAGGAATGCTGGATCGGACGCCTGTCTCACTGGTGGCTTCTGACTCAGGGTACGAGCCCACCTGCCCTGGTGGAGGCCCCCGGGGTCACCTAAGGCTGGATGGAGCTTGGCTCAGTGGTCTGGGGAACACTGGACACCAGGGTCCTGCTCCCTGACATCCCGGGCTGCCCCCCACACCCCTGTCCTCTCTGCCCCAGGAGAGCTAGGTGGGCTGCTTGCTGTTGGAGGCCCCAGATACCAGCATTCTCCTCTGTGAGCCGCCTACTCCCACTCAAACTCACGAGGGTCAGGGGTGCCGGGGACCCCTGCAGCTGGTCTGCCCGTGAGCTGTACTGGCCTAGCAGGCCAGGCGCCTCCCAGCCCTGCCCAGGAGCAGACACTACCCCAGGCCTCAGAGGGCTCTGAGCTCCAGGCCACAGCTGACTGCCCGGTGCCCTCAGCCAGGGCAGGGCCTGCGCATGCTGGGTCTGGTGGCCACAGCTCAGTGGCAGCCTGGAAGGCCTGCTCCAAAGCAGAGCCCCCTCCACAGGAGACCCAGGTGGATGAGGATTGAGAGACGCCAAGGGGTTTCCTTGATGTGGCCCCTCCTGGACCCTTGCTCTTGAGGGTATGAGCCCCTCCTCTTGAGGGTGGCGAGACCTGTCCTTCCTTGTAACCAAGACAGCGCAAGAAGTGAGATGGCAACAGCTAGGAGTGCCCCCTGCTGGTCAGCTGAGGCATTGCACGCTGCCGGGCTGGACACAGGCCCATGTCCTGAGTTCGAATGCAGCTCCTTCCCCAGTCAAGTCTGGAGGGAGGACCACAGTCCCTCCAGTCACCTCAGTCACTGCAAAAGACCATCTGAGCTGTGTTTGGACCCCTACCCACAGAAACTGGAGAAGATCAATATATGTCGTTTTAAGCCGCCAGTGTGTGGTGATTTCTTACACAGCACAGAGAACACGTCCCAGGGAGGCCGTGCCGTGCTGGTCAGCAGCTCCCACAGCCCTCAGCCTTGACTCCAGGTCCCAAGGGGGATGAACACCCCTGAAGCCAGGCAGCCCCACCCCAGTGTTCCCAGGGGCCTGCGCCGGTCAGGCGGGGAGGCAGGGGACATGGGGCTGTGACAGTCTTGCTTGACTGCAGGACAGAGGCCACACTGACTTCCCCTTCACACCTCCCCACTCACAAGCCACTCAGACCTGCTGTCAGCTCACTTTCCAGAGGGTTCTAAGCCCCCTAATTTGGATGAACTTTCCCACCAGCCACAGGGAAAGACATGACTTGCCCACGGTGTTGCGGGGCAGGGACCCAGTCTCTCCTCGGGCCTGTGGACGCTGCCCTCCTGCCATCCCACGGCCGCACCGAGTGGGCAGCCACGGGAGCAGCAGGCCGCCCTCCGGGGAGAGCCCGCCCAGGCCGGGGCACTGGGCAGGCTCCTCAGAACACTGCCTGTTGTGAGCCCGGGAGAGTGGCCACTGTAGGAAACCCCTGAATGCCATTCACTCCCCCGGTGGGCTTGCTCCCCGAGGGCTGCTCAGAGGGGGGCACTGTGGTGAGGGAAGCTTCTCAGACGGCCCCCGTCAGGCCAAGGCCCCCGCTGACCTTCCAGGCCTAGGCCCTCTCTGCAGTCCCTGCTGTGTGTCTGTAACCCTGCCACGCTTGCTCTGGTCTCCCAAGGGAGGCTCCCAGGAGGATCTGAACAGACAGATGGATCTGTGGACCACCACTTCAGACGCCCGAGTCTGTTCTCCACGCAGACGAGGTGCTTGGGACGGTGCTTCCGGAACAAAAGGCCTCGCAGCCACCACTGTGGGGGCATCACCTCCTTTATTGCCCATCGGGGAACAGCAAGTGAAGTCTGGTGTACACGTGGGGCTGGGGGCGCGCAAGGGCAGTGACGCCGGTCAGAATCTCTCACCCCTCCCGGCTAACCGCCCACAGCGCCCGAGCCGGGCCACCACCCCCTGCCGGCGCCCGTCACAGGGAGCCCCCAAAGCTTGGGGAAGGAGTGAGCTGGTTATAAGCACGCAGGCAGTGGGGTTCCCGGGAATATGCCGGACTCAGGCCTGAAACAGGAAAGCTCCAAGCGCCAGGAAGCAGCAGCAGGGCCAGGGACACGCCCACAGCCACGCCCACAGCCACGCCCACGCCCACAGACTTTATTGCCTCATGGGGATGTGAGCCAGGTCCCTAGAAACCGTTTGATAAGGTCCAGCAATGCCTTCCAGAAGACACTACCGCGGGTCCCAACGTCATCGCTTCCAGCGTTGGGTCCCCCTTGGAGGCCTCCGCGACGGCGGCACGGCGTCCGCTTGGTTTCCATCCTGAGTCCAAGTGGACGCGCCCTCTGCTTTCCCGTCCTCCCCTGAAAAGTCACACCTGCGACCTCACTTGGTGGCAGGCCTGGGCGCGGGCTGGGCACCGGCTTTCCCGCCCTGCTCTGGACTGGCTAACTCCGTTCTCGCCGCGGACGCCACCATCGCGCAGGGGCCCGGCGCCGCGCCTGCAGCCTCGGCGAGCTCCTCGTCCTCCCTCTCCTCCGCCGAGAGGCTTTCTTGGGCATCAAAGAAGGTGACCGCTTCTTCCTGGAGCTTCGGCTCCGCCAGACGTGCCTGGTCCCCGGTGCTTTCGCTCGTCTTGCTGGGAGTGGAGGAGAACCCCAATTTGGGGAATCGGAACCAACCCGCCTTCTCCTGCCTCTTCGGCAGCTCTGCCTCCGGGCGGGCCTCGGGCTGCGTTCGGACCGGAGCAGGTGTTTGCGCCTCTTGTGTGACGTCAGCGCTGGTGTCCCCCGCAGAGGAAGAGAACCCGATGCTCGGAAGCCAAAACCTGAACCGACCGGAAGACCGCTTGCTGTCTGGTTTCTCTCTGGCAACCCCATCTTCATCTCGGCCGTCTTCAGGGGGGAATTCGAGGATTTCTGCGGGCTCTTCGTCCGAACAGCTGTCTGCAAACGGGGGGCCAGAGCACGCTTCAGACGCGAATGTCTGTGGCCCCAGCTCATGGACGCTGGAAGAGATCATTTCAAAAGGCTCTCCGGTACAAGGCTGGGGAGCTCCAGAAACAGGGGCAGCTCCCGGGGTGACTTGTTTGGAAGCCACTTGGAAGCCTTCGGGCAGCTGACTGTCCTGAGTGACCACGTGCACCTGGGCCTTCACAGGGCTCTCCAAGACCCTCCCCTTAAGCAGGGAGAATCCGTAAGAAGGCGTCTGGATCTTGGAGGCCGGGACCTCTGATTCCCGCACAATCTGAGTGGAAAAAGTCTCGGGTGCCGACGGGTCAGCAACCTGCGTTGTGACCCTGCTGTGTACAGTCACCTCTTGGCTCTCAACCCGAGCGCCGTGAATGTGTACTTTGACCTTGGAAATGGGGGACGCATCTGAGGAGAGGTCGGGGGCCACAGGCTGCTGCTGGGGGGCCCCAGCGCCTGCCTTCAGGACACTCACGCCCCAGGCTCCAGGGCTCTCCTTACACAGAGCCAAGTCGAGGCTGCTGTCTGGGCACCACACCTCTCTCACCGCCGGGACGAAGATGTCGGCCTCGCAGCTGGGGGCCGGGAAGGTGAACCTGGGCACCTTGAGCGGGGGGAACTTGACCGTGACCACAGAATCCTCCCAGGGCTGACACCTGTCAATGGTGGAGGTCTGGGCCGGCATGTCGGCCAGCGAAACCTTCAGTCTGACAGGGCCTTCGGGTGGGCAAGACGGCTGCTCTGCGCTCCCTGTCCCGCCGGCAGGAGTCTCGCTTGTTTCCCCTGGAGGAGCTTGGGCTTCTGAAAGTCTCTCTCTGGGCATCTGAAGCGGGAGGGAGCTTTCGCCTGGACAGAGCCTGGCCTTGGACGTGGGAAGATCAACAGGGAGTGTCCCGGCTGGGGGCAGGTGCAGCTCCAAGCCTTTGCTGTCAAGACTTCGCCTGAGAACCTCCGCCGCGTCTGCCTCCACCTCTGACCCAGGAGCACAGACCCCAGGACTGTGGACTGCAGCTGGTACCTCTCCTTTGCTGGGTGTGCCCAGCCCCCCAGCCCCACCCCGCTCCTTGGAGGAGCGCCAGAAGCTGGGCAGGCGGAGGGAGGGCATCCTAAACCAGCTGTCCTGCGAGCTGGCCAGCTCAGCTCCTGCTGCCGAGTCCTGCTCTGGGCTCCTCACCGGGGCGGCTGCAGGGTCTGGTTCACCACAGGCCGCCTGGAGGGAGTCTTCTGTGGAGAGGGCCGCCCCCCGAGGCTGGCTTGCCGAGCCTTCCCCAAGCTCACGCTCTTCTCTGCCATCTCCAAGAGGCAGGCCATGTTTGGGGAGAGGAAGGCTCTCTGCAGACTGGCTCACCTCTCCCTGGACCTGGCTGGGTCTGAGGCCAGGTTTGACAAAGCCCACAGTGGGAAGATGGACCTGTGGCAGGTGGAGGTTTTCGCCTGCTTCTTCTGAGAAGCCAGATGCTGCAGCAGCAGCAGCACCCCCGCAGCTGGCCCCCGCTGTGGCATGAGGGGCGCTAGAGACGGCATGCTCTGAGTCTCCAGGGGGCCCGTGGGACACGGCCAAGCTGGGTGTTTTCACCCTCCCCTTCTCTCCAGCCTTCTCAGGAGTCACGTCCATGTGGGCCTCCAGATGCAGAACATCAACTCCAGGCGTGCCCGCATCTACAGCCAGGCTATGTGCCGGGTCCTGTTTCCGCTCTGCTCCCTTCTTCGGGGATCGCCTGAAGCCCGGGAGCCTGAGCCGGGGCATTTTTAAGGGACTGCCTTTCCCGTCACGGTCGGTGTCTTCAGCTTCGCCCCCAGCTGCAACCATTGCTGGCTGCCCAGCACTGCCTGTGGGGCCTTCCGTCCCCTGGGACAAGGAGACACCTGCAGATGGCAGCTGGGTGCCTGACCACGGGAATACTGCGGCTTCCCCTGAGTCCAGCACCCCTGCAGGGCCGGGAGGAGACAGGGCGCCCCCCAAGGCACAGGGCTCCCCCTTGGCCTCTGCTGCCTTTGAGACTGAAAATCGGAACTTTGGTCCATGAAATTTAGGAAAAGTCACCCGTCCATAAGATGCATAAATCAGGGGGTCCACTGGTCCAGGGTGGCTGTCAGTCTGGGACAAAGGAGCGCTCTCCCAGGATGGCAGGGTGGCAGCGCATTGGGTGCTGAGGTGAGCATCGCCCTGACACTCAGAAAGAGTTTCCTGAAGCAGCTCCGGGCAAACAGTGGCTCTGGGGAGAGTCACCTGGTATTTGGTAAGCGTGACACCCTCACAAAAAGTGGCGGCAGAGGATTCAGCATGGTGACCACTAACATCAATACAGGCTGAAGAAGCACTGGGCCAGACTGGTGGGGGCACCTGCACAGACGGCTCCACCGCAGCACAAGGTTGCCCGAGAGACGTGCCAACGCCCACCCCTGAGAGCGTGAGGGGGGCACTCCCAGGCAGGGGACCTCCAGGATCGCCATCAGGGCTTCCCAGGCCTGTAGAACATGGTCCTGGAGGAGGAAAGACCCTGGAAATTTTGAAATGGGGTTTCTTAACATTGCTCTGTTCTGCAGAGGTTGCAGCCGATGAGACCCTACCCACAGTGACTATGGAAACAGAATGATCGGCGGCGTGGCCAGCTCCGTCAGCACTGTGAGAACAGGAACTCAGGTCTGCAGCTGGACCACTGCCATCAATATGAGGAGACACCACATAAGACCCACTGGATGATGACCCAAACAAGGACATGCTGACTTTGGGCATCTTGAACTTGCTGTCCCTGGAGGTCACCTCCGTGTCACCCAGGTCGATGTCTCCCTCCAACTTGGTGCCAGGTACCTGGATGTCCACCTCCATGCTGGGCATCGACACATCCACTTTGGAGATGGTCACCTCCCCTTTGGGGCCCTTTAAATCCAGTTTGGGGCCCTTGATGTCCACCTGCTGGCCCTTGAAGTCGACTTTGGGCATCTTCATGCTGGGCATCTGCACCTTGGGCAGGTGGCCCTTGAACTTGGTCACTTCTGCTTTGCCTTTGAGCTCGTCCACCGTCAACTCTCCCTCAGGGAGAGTGACCTCCAAGTCCACCCCAGGAAGTTTAATTTCACCAGATGGCAGTTGGATGCTACCCTCTGCAGCTCGCATATCACCCCCAAGGGAGGGTAGACTAGTCTCCCTCTTTGCCTTGGGCATAGGCACGTCTACCGATGTTCCCAAATCCTTGACTGGCCGAGACATGCCGAAGGACGGCATCTTGAACTTGGGCATCTTGAACTTGCTGTCCTGGGAGACCACCTCCGGGACCACAAGGCCAATGTCAGCCCCCACCTTGGCATCAGGTGCCTGGATATCAATGCTGGGCAGCGACACATCTACTTCAGGGACCATCACCTCTCCTTTGGTGCTCTTCAGGTCTACTATGGGGCCCTTGATGTCCACCTGGGGGTCACTGAAATCAAATGCTGGTTTCTTCATGCTGGGCATGTGCACCTTGGGTAGGTGCCCTTTGAGTCCAGCCTTGGAGGCAGGTCCATGGAGCTCTACCTCAGGTAGGTGGCCCTCCGGGAGCTTGACACTAAGCTCTCCTGTCTTGACATCCATACCAGCAGATGGCAGCTCAGTGCTAAGGTCGGTGGTCTTGATGTCACCTTTGATGGAGTGCAGAGACACTTCCCCGTGGGCCTGCGGCAGAAACATATCTACTGAGGACTCCAAGGATTTCCTTGGGGCTGAAGTACTGAAAGATGGCATCTTAAACTTGGGCATCTTGAACTTGCTATCCCTAGAGGCCACCTCCTTGTCCGGTAGACTGATGTCACCATCCAGCTTGGCGTCCAGTGCTGGGATGTCCACCTTCATGCTGGGCATTGACACATCCAATTGGGGGACGGTCACCTCCCCTTTCGGGCCCTTCAGGTCCAGTTTGGGACCCTTGATATCCACCTGGGGTCCTTTGAAGTCACCTTTGGGCATCTTCAAGCTGGGCATGTGCACCTTGGGAAGGTGCCCTTTGAGTCCAGCCTTGGCGGCAGGTCCATGGAGCTCTACGTCAGGTAGGTGGCCTTCTGGGAGCTTCACGGTAAGCTCACCTGTCTTCACATCCATATCTGCTGATGGGAGCTCAGTGCTCAGTTCGCTGGTCTTCATGGGGGGCAAGGACACTTCCACCTCGGCCTTGGGCAAGGACACGTCTGCTGATGCCTCTATGGATTTGCTTGGCACAGATGAACCAAAGGATGGCATCTTGAACTTGGGCATCTTGAACTTGCGATCTCTGGAGACCACCTCTTTGTCCCCAAGGCTAAGGTCACCTTCTAGCTTGAGATCCGGCGCCTGGATGTCCACCTCCACACTGGGCATTGACACATCCCAGTCGGGTATGGTCACCTCCCCTTTCGGGCCCCTGAGGTCCAGTTTAGGACCCTTGATATCCACCTGGGGTCCTTTGAAGTCAACTTTGGGCATCTTCATGCTGGGCATGTGCACCGTGGGCAGATGCCCCTTGAGTCCAGCCTTGGCGGCAGGTCCATGGAGCTCTACCTCAGGTAGGTGGCCCTCCGGGAGCTTCACGGTAACCTCACCAGTCTTCACATCCATATCTGCTGATGGGAGCTCAGTGCTCAGTTCGCTGGTCTTCATGGGGGGCAAGGACACTTCCACCTCGGCCTTTGGCAAGGAAACGTCTGCTGATGCCTCTATGGATTTGCTTGGCACAGATAAACCAAAGGATGGCATCTTGAACTTGGGCATCTTGAACTTGCTGTCTCTGAAGGCTACCACTTTGTCCCCAAGCCTAATGTCACCTTCTAGCTTGGCATCGGGCACCTGGATGTCCACCTCCACACTGGGCATTGACACATCCAATTCAGGGACGGTCACCTCCCCTTTGGGGCCCTTCAAGTCCAGTTTGGGACCCTTGATATCCACCTGGGGTCCTTTGAAGTCAACTTTGGGCATCTTCATGCTGGGCATGTGCACCTTGGGCAGGTGCCCTTTGAGTCCAGCCTTGGCGGCAGGTCCATGGAGCTCTACCTCAGGTAGGTGGCCCTCCGGGAGCTTCACGGTAAGCTCACCGGTCTTCACATCCATATCTGCTGATGGGAGCTCAGTGCCCAGTTCGCTGGTCTTGATTGTGGGCAAGGACACTTCTACATCTGTCTTGGGCAAGGACACGTCTGCTGATGCCTCTATGGATTTGCTTGGCACAGATGAACCAAAGGATGGCATCTTGAACTTGGGCATCTTGAACTTGCTGTCTCTGGAGGATACCTCCTTGTCACCAAGGCTAATGTCACCTTCTAGCTTGGCATCTGGTGCCTTGATGTCCACCTCCACACTGGGCATCGACACATCCAATTCAGGGACGATCACCTCCCCTTTCGGGCCCTTCAGGTCCAGTTTGGGACACTTGATATCTACCTGGGGTCCTTTGAAGTCAACTTTGGGCATCTTCATGCTGGGCATGTGCACCTTGTGCATATGCCCTTTGAGTCCGGCCTTGGCGGCAGGTCCATGGAGCTCTACGTCAGGTAGTTGGCCCTCCGGGAGCTTCATGGTAAGCTCACCTATCTTCACATCCATATCTGCTGATGGGAGCTCAGTGCTCAGTTCGCTGGTCTTCATGGGGGGCAAGGACAATTCCACCTCGGCCTTGGGCAAGGACACGTCTGCTGATGCCTCTATGGATTTGCTTGGCACAGATGAACCAAAGGATGGCATCTTGAACTTGGGCATCTTGAACTTGCTGTCTCTGGAGGCGACTTCCGTGTCCCCTAGGGTGAAGTCACCTTCTAGCTTCGCATCTGGTGCCTTGAAGTCTACCTCCACACTGGGCATTGACACATCCAACTCGGGTATGGTCACCTCCCCTTTGGGGCCCTTCAGGTCCAGTTTGGGACCCTTGATATCCACCTGGGGTCCTTTGAAGTCAACTTTGGGCATCTTCATGCTGGGCATGTGCACCTTGGGCAGGTGCCCTTTGAGTCCAGCCTTGGCGGCAGGTCCATGGAGCTCTACCTCAGGTAGGTGGCCCTCCGGGAGCTTCACGGTAAGCTCACCGGTCTTCACATCCATATCTGCTGATGGGAGCTCAGTGCCCAGTTCGCTGGTCTTCATGGTGGGCAAGGACACTTCCACCTCAGCCTTTGGCAAGGACACATCTACTGATGCCTCTATGGATTTGCTTGGCACAGATGAACCAAAGGATGGCATCTTGAACTTGGGCATCTTGAACTTGCTGTCTCTGGAGGCTACTTCTGTGTCCCCTAGGGAGACGTCACCTTCTAGCTTCGCATCTGGCGCCTTGAAGTCCACCTCCACACTGGGCATTGACACATCCAATTCAGGGACCGTCACCTCCCCTTTGGGGCCCTTCAGGTCCAGTTTGGGACCCTTGATATCCACCTGGGGTCCTTTGAAGTCAACTTTGGGCATCTTCATGCTGGGCATGTGCACCTTGGGCAGGTGCCCTTTGAGTCCAGCCTTGGCGGCAGGTCCATGGAGCTCTACCTCAGGTAGGTGGCCCTCCGGGAGCTTCACGGTAAGCTCACCTGTCTTCATATCCATATCTGCTGATGGGAGCTCAGTGCCCAGTTCGCTGGTCTTGATGGGGGGCAAGGACACTTCCACCTCAGCCTTTGGCAAGGAGACATCTACTGATGCCTCTATGGATTTGCTTGGTACAGATGAACCAAAGGATGGCATCTTGAACTTGGGCATCTTGAACTTGCTGTCTCTGGAGGCTATCTCCTTGACACCAATGCTGATGTCACCTTCTAGCCTGGTGTCCGGCGCCTGGATGTCTACCTCCACACTGGGCATTGACACATCCAATTCGGGGATGGAAACCTCCCCTTTCGGGCCCTTCAGGTCCAGTTTGGGACCCTTGATATCCACCTGGGGTCCTTTGAAGTCAACTTTGGGCATCTTCAAGCTGGGCATGTGCACCTTGGGAAGGTGCCCTTTGGGTCCAGCCTTGGCGGCAGGTCCATGGAGCTCTACCTCAGGTAGGTGGCCCTCCGGGAGCTTCACGGTAAGCTCACCTGTCTTCACATCCATATCTGCTGATGGGAGCTCAGTGCCCAGTTCGCTGGTCTTCATGGTGGGCAAGGACACTTCCAGCTCAGCCTTTGGCAAGGAGACATCTACTGATGCCTCTATGGATTTGCTTGGTACAGATGAACCAAAGGATGGCATCTTGAACTTGGGCATCTTGAACTTGCTGTCTCTGGAGGTGACTTCCGTGTCCCCTAGGGAGACGTCACCTTCTAGCTTCGCATCTGGCGCCTTGAAGTCCACCTCCACACTGGGCATTGACACATCCAATTCAGGGACCGTCACCTCCCCTTTGGGGCCCTTCAGGTCCAGTTTGGGACCCTTGATATCCACCTGGGGTCCTTTGAAGTCAACTTTGGGCATCTTCATGCTGGGCATGTGCACCGTGGGCAATTGCCCTTTGAGTCCAGCCTTGGCGGCAGGTCCATGGAGCTCTACCTCAGGTAGGTGGCCCTCCGGGAGCTTCACGGTAAGCTCACCTGTCTTCATATCCATATCTGCTGATGGGAGCTCAGTGCCCAGTTCGCTGGTCTTCATGGGGGGCAAGGACACTTCCACCTCAGCCGTAGGCAAGGACACGTCTACTGATGCCTCTATTGATTTGCTTGACACAGATGTACCAAATGATGGCACCTTGAACTTGGGCATCTTGAACTTGCTGTCTCTGGAGGCTACCTCCTTGTCACCAAGGCTAATGTCACCTTCCAGCTTGGCATCTGGCGCCTTGATGTCCACCTCCACACTGGGCATTGACACATCCAATTCAGGGACGGTCACCTCCCCTTTGGGGCCCTTCAGGTCCAGTTTGGGACCCTTGATATCCACCTGGGGTCCTTTGAAGTCAACTTTGGGCATCTTGATGCTGGGCATGTGCACCGTGGGCAATTGCCCTTTGAGTCCAGTCTTGGCGGCAGTTCCATGGAGCTCTACCTCAGGTAGGTGGCCCTCCGGGAGCTTCACGGAAAGCTCACCTGTCTTCACATCCATATCTGCTGATGGGAGCTCAGTGCTCAGTTCGCTGGTCTTCATGGGGGGCAAGGACACTTCCAGCTCAGCCTTTGGCAAGGAGACATCTACTGATGCCTCTATGGATTTGCTTGGTACAGATGAACCAAAGGATGGCATCTTGAACTTGGGCATTTTGAACTTGCTGTCTCTGGAGGGGACTTCCGTGTCCCCTAGGGAGACGTCACCTTCTAGCTTCGCATCTGGTGCCTTGATGTCCACCTCCACACCGGGCATTGACACATCCAATTTAGGTACCGTCATCTCCCCTTTGGGGCCCTTCAGGTCCAGTTTGGGACCCTTGATATCCACCTGGGGTCCTTTGAAGTCAACTTTGGGCATCTTCATGCTGGGCATGTGCACCTTGGGCAGGTGCCCTTTGAGTCCAGCCTTGGCGGCAGGTCCATGGAGCTCTACCTCAGGTAGGTGGCCCTCCGGGAGCTTCACGGTAAGCTCACCTGTCTTCATATCTATATCTGCTGATGGGAGCTCAGTGCCCAGTTCGCTGGTCTTCATGGTGGGCAAGGACACTTCCACCTCAGCCTTTGGCAAGGACACATCTACTGATGCCTCTATGGATTTGCTTGGCACAGATGAACCAAAGGATGGCATCTTGAACTTGGGCATCTTGAACTTGCTGTCTCTGGAGGCTACTTCTGTGTCCCCTAGGGAGACGTCACCTTCTAGCTTCGCATCTGGCGCCTTGAAGTCCACCTCCACACTGGGCATTGACACATCCAATTCAGGGACCGTCACCTCCCCTTTGGGGCCCTTCAGGTCCAGTTTGGGACCCTTGATATCCACCTGGGGTCCTTTGAAGTCAACTTTGGGCATCTTCATGCTGGGCATGTGCACCTTGGGCAGGTGCCCTTTGAGTCCAGCCTTGGCGGCAGGTCCATGGAGCTCTACCTCAGGTAGGTGGCCCTCCGGGAGCTTCACGGTAAGCTCACCTGTCTTCATATCCATATCTGCTGATGGGAGCTCAGTGCCCAGTTCGCTGGTCTTGATGGGGGGCAAGGACACTTCCACCTCAGCCTTTGGCAAGGAGACATCTACTGATGCCTCTATGGATTTGCTTGGTACAGATGAACCAAAGGATGGCATCTTGAACTTGGGCATCTTGAACTTGCTGTCTCTGGAGGCTATCTCCTTGACACCAATGCTGATGTCACCTTCTAGTCTGGTGTCCGGCGCCTGGATGTCTACCTCCACACTGGGCATTGACACATCCAATTCGGGGATGGAAACCTCCCCTTTCGGGCCCTTCAGGTCCAGTTTGGGACCCTTGATATCCACCTGGGGTCCTTTGAAGTCAACTTTGGGCATCTTCAAGCTGGGCATGTGCACCTTGGGAAGGTGCCCTTTGGGTCCAGCCTTGGCGGCAGGTCCATGGAGCTCTACCTCAGGTAGGTGGCCCTCCGGGAGCTTCACGGTAAGCTCACCTGTCTTCACATCCACATCTGCTGATGGGAGCTCAGTGCCCAGTTCGCTGGTCTTCATGGTGGGCAATGACACTTCCAGCTCAGCCTTTGGCAAGGAGACATCTACTGATGCCTCTATGGATTTGCTTGGTACAGATGAACCAAAGGATGGCATCTTGAACTTGGGCATCTTGAACTTGCTGTCTCTGGAGGGGACTTCCGTGTCCCCTAGGGAGACGTCACCTTCTAGCTTCGCATCTGGCGCCTTGAAGTCCACCTCCACACTGGGCATTGACACATCCAATTCAGGGACCGTCACCTCCCCTTTGGGGCCCTTCAGGTCCAGTTTGGGACCCTTGATATCCACCTGGGGTCCTTTGAAGTCAACTTTGGGCATCTTCATGCTGGGCATGTGCACCGTGGGCAATTGCCCTTTGAGTCCAGCCTTGGCGGCAGGTCCATGGAGCTCTACCTCAGGTAGGTGGCCCTCCGGGAGCTTCACGGTAAGCTCACCTGTCTTCACATCCATATCTGCTGATGGGAGCTCAGTGCTCAGTTCGCTGGTCTTCATGGGGGGCAAGGACACTTCCACCTCAGCCGTTGGCAAGGACACGTCTACTGATGCCTCTATTGATTTGCTTGGCACAGATGTACCAAAGGATGGCACCTTGAACTTGGGCATCTTGAACTTGCTGTCTCTGGAGGCTACCTCCTTGTCACCTAGGCTAATGTCACCTTCTAGCTTCGCATCTGGCGCCTTGAAGTCCACCTCCACACTGGGCATTGACACATCCAATTCAGGGACGGTCACCTCCCCTTTGGGGCCCTTCAGGTCCAGTTTGGGACCCTTGATATCCACCTGGGGTCCTTTGAAGTCAACTTTGGGCATCTTCATGCTGGGCATGTGCACCGTGGGCAATTGCCCTTTGAGTCCAGTCTTGGCGGCAGTTCCATGGAGCTCTACCTCAGGTAGGTGGCCCTCCGGGAGCTTCACGGTAAGCTCACCTGTCTTCACATCCATATCTGCTGATGGGAGCTCAGTGCTCAGTTCGCTGGTCTTCATGGGGGGCAAGGACACTTCCAGCTCAGCCTTTGGCAAGGAGACATCTACTGATGCCTCTATGGATTTGCTTGGTACAGATGAACCAAAGGATGGCATCTTGAACTTGGGCATTTTGAACTTGCTGTCTCTGGAGGGGACTTCCGTGTCCCCTAGGGAGACGTCACCTTCTAGCTTCGCATCTGGTGCCTTGAAGTCCACCTCCACACTGGGCATTGACACATCCAATTCAGGGACCTTCACCTCCCCTTTGGGGCCCTTCAGGTCCAGTTTGGGACCCTTGATATCCACCTGGGGTCCTTTGAAGTCAACTTTGGGCATCTTCATGCTGGGCATGTGCACCTTGGGCAGGTGCCCTTTGAGTCCAGCCTTGGCGGCAGGTCCATGGAGCTCTACCTCAGGTAGGTGGCCCTCCGGGAGCTTCACGGTAAGCTCACCTGTCTTCATATCTATATCTGCTGATGGGAGCTCAGTGCCCAGTTCGCTGGTCTTCATGGTGGGCAAGGACACTTCCACCTCAGCCTTTGGCAAGGACACATCTACTGATGCCTCTATGGATTTGCTTGGCACAGATGAACCAAAGGATGGCATCTTGAACTTGGGCATCTTGAACTTGCTGTCTCTGGAGGCTACTTCTGTGTCACCAAGGGAGACGTCACCTTCTAGCTTCGCATCTGGCGCCTTGATGTCCACCTCCACACTGGGCATTGACACATCCAATTCAGGGACCGTCACCTCCCCTTTGGGGCCCTTCAGGTCCAGTTTGGGACCCTTGATATCCACCTGGGGTCCTTTGAAGTCAACTTTGGGCATCTTCATGCTGGGCATGTGCATTGTGGGCAATTGCCCTTTGAGTCCAGCCTTGGCAGCAGGTTTATGGAGCTCTACCTCAGGTAGGTGGCCCTCCGGGAGCTTCACGGTAAGCTCACCTGTCTTCATATCCGTATCTGCTGATGGGAGCTCAGTGCTCAGTTCGCTGGTCTTGATGGGGGGCAAGGACACTTCCACCTCAGCCTTGGGAAAGGACACATCTGCTGATGCCTCTATGGATTTGCTTGGCACAGATGAACCAAAGGATGGCACCTTGAACTTGGGCATCTTGATCTTGCTGTCTCTGGAGGATACCTCCTTGTCACCAAGGATGATGTCACCTTCTAGCTTGGTGTCCGGCACCTGAATGTCTACCTCCACACTGGGCATTGAAACATCCAATTCAGGGACCTTCACCTCCCCTTTGGGGCCCTTCAGGTCCAGTTTGGGACCCTTGATATCCACCTGGGGTCCTTTGAAGTCAACTTTGGGCATCTTCATGCTGGGCATGTGCACCTTGGGCAGGTGCCCTTTGAGTCCAGCCTTGGCGGCAGGTCCATGGAGCTCTACCTCAGGTAGGTGGCCCTCCGGGAGCTTCACGGTAAGCTCACCTGTCTTCATATCCATATCTGTTGATGGGAGCTCAGTGCTCAGTTCGCTGCTCTTGATGGTGGGCAAGGACACTTCCACCTCGGCTTTGGGCAATGACACGTCTGCTGATGCCTCTATGGATTTGCTTGGCACAGATGAACCAAAGGATGGCATCTTGAACTTGGGCATCTTGAACTTGCTGTCTCTGGAGGCAACCTCCTTGTCACCAATGCTGATGTCACCTTCTAGCCTGGTGTCCGGCGCCTGGATGTCTACCTCCACACTGGGCATTGACACATCCAATTCAGGGACGGTCACCTCCCCTTTGGGGCCCTTCAGGTCCAGTTTGGGACCCTTGATATCCACCTGGGGTCCTTTGAAGTCAACTTTGGGCATCTTCATGCTGGGCATGTGCACCGTGGGCACTTCCCCTTTGAGTCCGGTTTTGGCGGCAGGTCCATGGAGCTCCACCTCAGGGAGGTGGCCCTCTCTGTGCTTCACGGTAAGGTCACCTGTCTTCACATCCATATCTGCTGATGAGAGTTCAGTGCCCAGTTCGCTGGTCTTCATGGGGGGCAAGAACACTTCCACTTCAGCCTTTGGCAAAGACACATCTAATGATGCCTCTATGGATTTGCTTGGCACAGATGAACCAAAGGATGGCATCTTGAACTTGGGCATCTTGAACTTGCTGTCTCTGGAGGCAACCTCCTTGTCACCAATGCTGATGTCACCTTCTAGCCTGGTGTCCGGCGCCTGGATGTCTACCTCCACACTGGGCATTGACACATCCAATTCGGGGATGGAAACCTCCCCTTTGGGGCCCTTCAGGTCCAGTTTGGGACCCTTGATATCCACCTGGGGTCCTTTGAAGTCAACTTTGGGCATCTTCATGCTGGGCATGTGCACCGTGGGCAATTGCCCTTTGAGTCCAGCCTTGGCGGCAGGTCCATGGAGCTCTACCTCAGGTAGGTGGCCCTCCGGGCGCTTCACGGTAAGCTCACCTGTCTTCACATCCATATCTGCTGATGGGAGCTCAGTGCTCAGTTCGCTGGTCTTGATGGCGGGCAAGGACACTTCCACCTCGGCCTTTGGCAAGGACACGTCAACTGATGTCTCTATGGATTTGCTTGGCACAGATGAACCAAAGGATGGCATCTTGAACTTGGGCATCTTGACCTTGCTGTCTCTGGAGGCTACCTTCTTGTCCCCAAGGCTAATGTCACCTTCTAGCTTGGCATCTGGCGCCTGAATGTCCACCTCCACACTGGGCTTTGACACATCCAATTCAGGGACAGTCACCTCCCCTTTGGGGCCCTTCAGGTCCAGTTTGGGACCCTCGATGTCGATCTGGGGTCCTTTGAAGTCAATTTTGGACATCTTCATGCTGGGCATATGCACCTTGGGCTGGTGTTCCTGTATATCAGTCTTGGCTGCAGGTCTATGGAGCTCTTCCTCAGGTTGGTGGCCCTCCGGGAGCTTCACGGTAAGCTCACCTGTCTTGACTTCCATGTCAGCAGATGGCAGTTCAGGACTTAGTTCGCTGCTCTTGATGTCAACCTGGATGGAGGGCAGGGACACTTCCGCTTCGGCCTTTGAAAGGGACATGTCCTTGGAGGCATCCATGAACTTGCTTTGTAGAGATGCGCCAAAAAGTGGTATCTTGAACTTGCTGTCCCTGGAGGCCACCTCCATGTCCCCCAGGTTGATGTCACCTTCCAGCTTGTCATCTGGCGCCTCGATGTCTACCATCATGCTGGGCATTGACACATCCTCTTCGGGTATGGTCACCTCCACTGTGGGTTCCTGCTGGTCCTCTTTGGGTCCCTTGATATCCAGCTGGGGCCCTTTGAAGTCAACTTTGGGCATCTTCATGCTGGGCATGTGCACCTTGGGCAGGTGCCCTTGAATTCCAGTTTTTGCAGCGGGTCCATGGAGCTCTACCTCAGGCAGGTAGCCCTCTGAGAGCTTCATGGTAAGGTCACCTGTCTTCAGATCCATATCTGCTGATGGGAGCTCAGTGCTCAGTTCGCTGGTCTTGATGGGGGACAAGGACACTTCCACCTCGGCCTTGGGCAAGGACACGTCTGCTGATGCCTCTATGGATTTGCCTGGCACAGATGAACCAAAGGATGGCACCTTGAACTTGGGCATCTTGAACTTGCTGTCTCTGGAGGCTACCTCCTTGTCACCAAGGCTGATGTCACCTAGCTTGGTGTCCGGCGCCTGGATGTCCACCTCCACACTGGGCATTGACACATCCAATTCAGGGACGGTCACCTCCCCTTTGGGGCCCTTCAGGTCCAGTTTGGGACCCTTGATATCCACCTGGGGTCCTTTGAAGTCAAATTTGGGCATCTTCATGCTGGGTATGTGCACCTTGGGCAGGTGCCCTTTGTGTCCAGCCTTGGCCGCAGGTCCATGGAGCTCTACCTCAGGTAGGTGGCCCTCCGGGAGCTTCACAGTAAGCTCACCTGCCTTCACATCCATATCTGCTGATGGGAGCTCAGTGCCCAGTTTGCAGGTCTTGATGTGGGGCAAGGACACTTCCACCCCGGCCTGGGGCAAGGACACGTCTGCTGATGTCTCTATGGATTTGCTTGGCACAGATGAACCAAAGGATGGCATTGTGGACTTGCTGTCTCTGGAGGCTACCTCCTTGTCACCACGGCTGATGTCACTTTCAAGCTTGGCATCTGGCACCTGGATGTCCACCTCCATACTGGGCATAGACACATCCATGTCAGGGATGCTCACCTCCCCTTTTGGACCCTTAAGGTCCAGTTTGGGACCCTCGATATCTACCTGGGGTCCTTTGAAGTCAACTTTGGGCATCTTCATGCTGGGCATGTGCACCTTGGACAGGTGCCCTTTCAGTCCAGCCTTGGTGGCAGGTCCATGGAGTTCTACTTCTGGTCGGTGGCCCTCCTCTGTCTTCACCGTAAGCTCATCTGTCTTGACTTCCACGTGAGAAGAAGGCAGCTCAGTTCTTAATTCACTGGTCGTAATGTCAATCTCAGTGGAGGGCAGGGACACGTCCATTGAGGCCTCCATGAACTTGATTGGCAGGGAAGCGCTGAAGGATGACATTTTGAACTTGCTATCCCTGGAGGCTACCTCCGTGTCCCCTAGGGTGACGTCACCTTCTAGCTTGGCATCTGGCGCCTTGATGTCCACCTCCACACTGGGCATCGACATATCCATGTCATGGACGGTTACCTCCCCTTTTGGGCCCTTCAAGTCCAGTTTGGGACCCTCAATGTCGACCTGGGGTTCTTTGAAGTCAACTTTGGGCATCTTCATGCTGGGCATGTGCACCTTGGGCAGGTGCCCTTTGAGTCCAGCCTTGGCCGCAGGTCCATGGAGCTCTACCTCATGTAGGTGGTCCTCCGGGAGCTTCACGGTAAGCGCACCTCTCTTCACATCCATATCTGCTGATGGGAGCTCAGTGCTCAGTTCACTGGTCTTCATGGGGGGCAAGGACACTTCCACCTCGGCCTTGGGCAAGGACACTTCCACCTCGGCCTTGGGCAAGGACACGTCTGCTGATGCCTCTATGGATTTGCTTGGCACAGATGAACCAAAGGACGGCATCTTGAACTTGGGCATCTTGAATTTGCTGTCTCTGGAGGCTACCTCTTTGTCTCCAAGGCTGATGTCACCTTCTAGCTTGGCATCTGGCACCTGGATGTCCACCTCCACACTGGGCATCAACACATCCACTTTGGGAATGGTCACCTCCCCTTTCAGGCCCTTTGGGTCCAGTTTACGACCCTTGCTGTCAACCTGGGGTCCTTTGAAGTCAACTTTGGGCGTCTTCATACTGGGCATGTGCACTTTGGGCAGGTGTCCTTGTATATCAGTCTTGGCAGCAGGTCCATGAAGCTCTACTTCAGGTAGGTGACCCTCCTGTAGCTTCACCATAAGCTCACCTGTCTTGACTTCCACATCAGCACATGGCACCTCAGTACTATGTTTGCTAGTCTTGATGTCGACCTCGATGGAGGGCAGGGACACTTCCCCCTCAGCCTTTGACAGGGGCATGTCTATTGTGGCTTCCATGAACTTGCTTGGCAGAGATGCGCCGAAGGATGGCATCTTTAACTTGGGTATCTTGAACTTGCTGTCCCTGGAGTCTACCTCTTTGTCTGGTAGGCAGATGTCACTTTCCAGCCTGGCGTCTGGCACCTGAATGTCCACCTCCACACTGGGCATTGACACATCTACATTGGGAATGGTCACCTCCGCTTTCAGGCTCTTCTTCTCCTGTTTAGGACCCTCGATGTCAACCTGTGGTCCTTTGAAGTCAACTTTGGGCATCTTCATACTGGGCATGTGCACCTTGGGCAGGTGTCCTTTGAGTCCAGCCTTGGCGGCAGGTCCATGGAGCTCTACCTCAGGTAGGTGGCCCTCCTGGAGCTTCATGGTAAGCTCACCTGTCTTCCCATCCATATCAGCTGCTGGGAGCTCAGGCCCCAGGTCGCTGGTCTTGATGGTGGGCAAGGACACTTTTACCTCGGTTTTTGGCAAGGACACATCTGCTGATGCCTCTATGGATTTGCTTGGCATAGTTGCACCAAAGGATGGCATCTTGAACTTGGGCATCTTGAACTTGCTGTCTCTGGAGGTTACCTCCTTGTCCCCAATGCTGATGTCACCTTCCAGCTTGCCGTCCGGCACCTGAATGTCCACCTCTACACTGCGTATTGACACATCTACGTTGGGAATGGTCACCTCCCCTTTCAGGCCCTTCAGGTCCAGTTTAGGACCCTCGATGTCGACCTGGGGTCCTTTGAAGTCAACTTTGGGCGTCTTCATACTGGGCATGTGCACCTTGTGCAGGTGTCCTTGTATATCAGTCTTGGCAGCAGGTCCATGGAGCTCTACCTCAAGTCGGTGACCCTCCTGTCGCTTCACGATAAGCTCACCTGTCTTGACTTCAACATCAGCAGATGGCACCTCAGTACTATGTTTGCTAGTCTTGATGTCAACCTCGATGGAGGGCAGGGACACGTCTTCCTCAGCCTTTGGCAGGGGCACGTCTGTTGTGGCTTCCATGAACTTGCTTGGCAGAGATGTGCTGAAGGATGGCATCTTTAACTTGGGTATCTTGAACTTGCTGTCCCTGGAGTCTACCTCCTTGTCCAGTAGGCAAATGTCACTTTCCAGCTTGGCATCCGGCACCTGAACGTCCACCTCCACACTGGGTATTGACACATCTACTTTGGGAATGGTCACCTCCCCTTTCAGGTTCTTCTTGTCCTGTTTAGTACCCTTGATGTCAACCTGTGGTCCTTTGAAGTCAACTTTGGGCATCTTCATACTGGGCATGTGCATCTTGTGCAGGTGTCCTTGTATATCAGTCTTGGCAGCAGGTCCATGGAGTGCTACCTCAGGTAGGTGGCCCTCCTGGAGCTTCATGGTAAGCTCACCTGTCTTGACTTCCACGTCAGCAGATGGCACCTCAGTACTTAGTTTGCTGGTCTTGATGTCGACCTCGATGGCAGGCAGGGACACTTCCCCCTCTGCCTTTGTCAGGGACACGTCCATGGAGGACTTGAGTGGCAGAGATGCACCAAATGATGGCATCTTGAACTTGGGCATCTTGAACTTGCTATCTGTGGAGGCCGCCTCCTTGTCCGGTAGGCTGATGTCACCTTCCAGCTTGGCATCTGGTGCCGGGATGTCCACCTTCATGCTGGGCATTGACACATCTACTTCAGATGTGGTCATCTGCACTACGGCGCTCTGCTGATCCAGTTTGGGTCCTTTGATATCTACCTGGGGTCCTTTGAAGTCAACTTTGGGCATCTTCATGCTGGGCATGTGCACCTTGGGCAGGTGTCCTTTGAGTCCAGCCTTGGCGGCAGGTCCATGGAGTTCTATCTCAGGTAGGTGGCCTTCTGGGAGCTTCATGGTAAGCTCACCTGTCTTCCCATCCATATCAGCTGCTGGGAGCTCAGGCCCCAGGTCGCTGGTCTTGATGGTGGGCAAGGACACTTTCACATCAGTTTTTGGCAAGGACACATCTGCTGATGCCTCTATGGACTTGCTTGGCACAGTTGCACCAAAGGATGGCATCTTGAATTTGGGCATCTTGAACTTGCTGTCCCTGGAGGCTACCTCCTTGTACCCCAGGCTGATATCACCTTCCAGCTTGGTGTCCGGCGCCTGAATGTCCACCTCCAGACTGGGCATTGACACATCCACATCAGGTATGTTCACCTCCCCTTTCAGGCCCTTCAGGTCCAGTTTAGGACCCTCGATGTGGACATGCGGTCTTTTGAAGTCAACTTTGGGCATCTTCATACTGGGCATGTGCACCTTGTGCAGGTGTCCTTGTGTATCAGTCTTGGCGGCAGGTCCATGGAGCGCTACCTCAGGTAGGTGGCCCTCTGGGAGCTTCACAGTAAGCTCACCTGTCTTGACTTCCATGTCAGCAGATGGCAGCTCAGTACTTAGTTCGCTGGTCTTGATGTCGACCTCGATGGTGGACAGTGACACTTCCCCCTCTGCCTTTGGCAGGGACACATCCATGGAGGCCTCCATGGACTTCCTTGGCAGAGATTCTCCAAAGGATGGCATCTTGAACTTGGGCAACTTGAACTTGCTGTCCCTGTAAGCTACCTCCTTGTCCCCCAGGCTGATGTCACTTTCCGGCTTGGCATCCGGTGCCTGGATGTCCACCTTCATGCTGGGCATTGACACATCCACTTCGGGGACAGTCACTTCCACTTTAGCGCCTTGCTGGTCCACTTTGGGACTCTGGATATCCACCTGGGGTCCTTTGAAGTCAACTTTGGGCATCTTCATGCTGGGCATGTGCACCTTGGGCAGGTGCCCTTTGAGTCCAGCCTTGGTGGCAGGTCCATGGAGCTCTACCTCAGGTTGGTGGCCCTCCGGGAGCTTCACGGTAACCTCCCCTGTCTTGACTTCCACGTCAGCGGATGGCAGCTCAGTACTTATTTTGCTGGTTTTGATACTGGCCTCGATGGAGGTCAAGGACACTTCCCCCTCGGCCTTTGGCAGGGACACATCCATTGAGGCCTCCAAGGACTTGCTTGGTACTGAGGTGCCAAATGATGGCATCTTGAACCTGGGCATCTTGTACTTGCTGTCCCTTGAAGCTACCTCCTTGTCCCTTAGTCCCATGTTGACATCCAGCTTGGCCTCTGGTGCCTGGATGTCCACCTCCACTCTGGGCATTGACACATCCACTTCAGGGACTGTTGCTTCTCCTTTGGTCCCCTTTAGGTCCACTTTTGGGCCCTTGATGTCCACTTGGGGGCTCTTGATGTCCACTTTGGGCACCTTTACTCTGGGAATCGGCACCTTGGGCAGATGGCTCTTGCATCTAGCCACGTCTGCTTCACCCTTTAGCTCACCCAGCGTCATCTGTCTCTCTGTGAGGGCCAACTCCAAGTCTCCCCCAAGGAGCTCAATTTCACCAGATGGAATCTGGATGCCACCCTCTGTGGCTGGCATCTCACCTCTCAGGGAGGGTACACTCGTCTCCCCTGTGGCTCTTGGCTCAGGCATGTCCACCGATGTACCCAGATCCTTGTCTGGCATTGACAGGCCGAAGGTCGGCATCTTGAACTTAGGCATCTTGAACTTGCTGTCTCTTGCGGTCACTTCAGTGTCCCCCAGGCCCATGTCAACTTCCAGTTTGGTGCCTGGTGCCTTGATGTCCGCCTCCACGCTCGGCATCGACACATCCACTTCTGGGACGGACACCTCGCCTTTGGCGCCTTTGAGGTCCAGGTTGGGGCCCTTGATGTCCACCTGGGGGCCCCTGAAGTCGACTTTGGGCATCTTCATGCTGGGCATCTGCACCTTGGGCAGGTGACTTTTCAGTCTGCCTCCAGCGGCAGGTCCCAGGATCTCTCTCTCGGACAGGTCGCCCTCTGTTAGCTTCACGGCCAGCTCACCTGTCTGGATGTCCACGTCAGCAGGTGGCAGCTCAGTGCTGAGGTCGCCGGTCTTGATGTCAGCCTGCATGGAGGACAGGGACACTTCCCCCTGGGCCTTTGGCAGGGACACCTCCACAGAGGCCTCCATCGACTTGCTTGGCGTAGATGTGCCAAAGGACGGCATCTTGAACTTGGGCATCTTGAACTTGCTGTCCTTGGAGGCCACCTCCGTGTTTCCCAGGCTGACGCCGCCCTCCGTTTTCTGCCCCCTCTCTCTCTCGGCTGTCATCTGTGGTCGGTGTTCCAGCGCTCGGCCCTCTCTTCCCTCGGTGCCCTCTGGGTCCATCTGCAAAGTGACAACCATGAAGTGTCTGTGTCTGAGTTTTTGTTTCCTGTCCCTGTGTTACTGCCCTGGACTGTGCCCCCTTCTCGGTGGACCATGCACAGGATGGCCTTTTTACCTCTGGCATCTCTGTCTTCTCCTCCCTTCCCTGCACGTGCCTGTGCCCAGTTTTGCTGCCTTCTTGTCTCAGTGCCGCCCCGCCCATCTCTGCTCTGGCTCTCTCCTCCCCGTGAACTGCGGGCGCCCCCTTTCCCATGGCTGTCCCCGGCCTTTCCTGCCTGAGCCCCAACTCGAGCACGATCTCTCCTCCTTCTGTCCCCAGCACTTTGTCTTGGAAATGGTGAACGTGGGCGTCTTGACTGTTGGCATTCGGGTCTGGAGCTGCGGCTGGCAGCCTGTGTGCTGACTTCATCTGCAGGGTCCTGCAGACACAACCTGCCCGGCCCTGCCTCCAGCCCCGGCACCCCATGCCTGTGGCCTGGCTGGCTCTGTCCTGGGGCTTCGCCTGCCTGGCTCTTCCCTGCGGCACAGTCTTCTCCGGGACCTTCCGCACCTTTGCCTTTTCTCGGCGTCTGGGCGCCATGCCGCCTCCACCCCCCAGGGCTCCGTCGCAGGCCCGGCTCTGTGGGCTCCTGCATGCCAAGGGTACATGTCCCGTCTTGGGTGTCTGCTGTTCTGTCCTCTCTCCTGCCCTGGACGGCAGCCCCAGTGTCCTGTCTGCTGTCATCCCAGCACCCCGCCTCTTCAAGGTCCCCAACCTGGACAGTCCCGCGTGGGCTGCTCTGCCCGGGTGCCCACCAGCCTCGGCCCCTTCCCTGAGCCCACCTTGAATCTCAGGCTCAGGAACCGCCTTCTCCGCTGGCTGCCTGTCCCTGCTTTCGGCTCCTGCTCCTCTGCCGGGAACTGGGCCTCTGTGTCCGAGCTTGTGGGGGACACGGCAGGGGCCTTCCCCCTTTCGTAGGCTTCGGAGGAGCTGTGTGACCTCCGGGGCCCGCGTCTGCTCCTCATGCCTTGGAATTTGGGCCAGGAGAGTCTCTCCTTCTGGGGCCGCCTGCCTCTGCCTTCCCTGGGCTTGGAGAGGAGTCGCTCCTGGTCTCCATCCCCTTCCAGCGTCTTCACGGGTGTGTCTGTGGTCCCGTCAGCGCCATCCTTGTCCTGAAACACAGGGAGCGGGGCCTGTTGGAGGCCGTCGGGAAGCCTGGAGCCCGGGCTCAGGAGCACCCAGCCTCGGCCGGGCAGCCTCACCAGCTTCCCCGCACGCCTCGGGGCCCGCCGCGCGGCGCTGGCAGCCCACTCCTCGTCCCCTCGGGCCAGGAGTCTCCGTTTGATCTTGAACTGGACCTTGTACGGCTCTGAGTACTGGAGGATCTTCAGGGCGTCTTCATAGCTAATGCCGTCGAAGAAGATGGTGGTGCTCAGCAGCTGGTCCCCTGGACGAAGACAGAGTGCCATGGGCCTGAGCTCCCCCGCTCCGCCGCCACAGAGGGGTCTGCAGGGCAGTGTGCTTGAGAAGGAGCCCCCATGGAGCCCTGGGCGGGACGGAGGCCCCCCGTGTCACAGGTGAGCACCCAGCCTGGCGGGCGGTCATCCTGAGCTCCAGGCAGGACCCTGGTCCCTCCAGGCCCCTCCCACCCTGAGAGGAACCCTGGGGACACTGGGGATGGGGCCACCATGGCACCTTCTCTCAGGCAGAAGAGCTTGGCAGCCGAGGAGTCCTTCAGCACTTGCTTGACAAAGATCCCCTGGTCCCCACCGCCCGTGACACTAAAGCCACTGGCGCCAGCCTCCACCTCGGTCTTCAGCGTCACCTCTGTCTCCTCCTGCATGGGCAGAGCAGAGACACACCAGGGCCTCAGTGAGCATACGCCTGTCCCAGCATGGGCGTCCCTGCTGGGCTGCCTCCCTGAGGCAGAGACCTCAGAGCCTGTCATCATGCAGCAACAGAGCACCAGAGGGGCCCCGGCCAGGAGGGGAGGGCCCCGGCCAGGAGGGGAGGGCCCCGGCCAGGAGGGGAGGGCCCCGGCCAGGTGGGGAGGGCCCCGGCCAGGAGGGGAGGGCCCCGGCCAGGAGGGGAGGGCCCCGGCCAGGAGGGGAGGGCCCCGGCCAGGTGGGGAGGGTCCCGGCCAGGTGGGGAGGGCCCCGGCCAGGAGGGGAGGGCCCCGGCCAGGTGGGGAGGGCCCCGGCCAGGAGGGGAGGGCCCCGGCCAGGTGGGGAGGGCCCAGGCCAGGAGGGGAGGGTCCAGGCCAGGAGGGGAGGGTCCCGGCCAGGAGGGGAGGGCCCAGGCCAGGAGGGGAGGGCCCCAGCCAGGTGGGGAGGGCCCAGGCCAGGTGGGGAGGGTCCAGGCCAGGAGGGGAGGGTCCCGGCCAGGAGGGGAGGGCCCCGGCCAGGAGGGGAGGGCCCCGGCCAGGAGGGGAGGGCCCCGGCCAGGAGGGGAGGGTCCCGGCCAGGAGGGGAGGGCCCAGGTCAGGTGGGGAGGGCCCAGGTCAGGTGGGGAGGGCCCAGGTCAGGAGGGGAGGGCCCAGGCCAGGTGGAGAGGGCCCAGGCCAGGAGGGGAGGGTCCCGGCCAGGAGGGGAGGGCCCAGGCCAGGTGGGGAGGGCCCCGGCCAGGTGGGGAGGGCCCAGGTCAGGTGGGGAGGGCCCAGGCCAGGTGGGGAGGGCCCCGGCCAGGAGGGGAGGGCCCCGGCCAGGAGGGGAGGGCCCCGGCCAGGTGGGCCTGGGTTGCTGTCCCCAAGGCCTGCAGGTGGCCAGCTGCAGTGGCCTCAGGTGGGAGTGGCCCCCTCTTATCTCGGTCCCCTGCCACAGCTCAGGGGCAGCCTGTGTATAGCCACCCAGCCCAGGGGCCCTGGCCAGCAGAAGGACAGCTTCTCACTGGTGAGCAGAGCCTTCCTCCATCACCCCTCGTTCATGCTTTGTTGTTAAAACCTCACCCGAGGATATTTTTTCCCATTTCTCTTCAGATAGAGGGGGAGGGGGAGGGCGAGACATCTATGTGAGAGAGACACATCGACTGGCTGCCTCCCGCACGACCCAACCTGGGCCACGCCCTTGACCAGAATCGAACCCACAACTCGTGGTCCGTGGGCCAACACTCCAACCACTAAGCAGACGGCCAGGGCCCCTCGTTCCTTCTCTACATGCTCTAAGCTCTGGTGGCCCACAGGGAGCTGGTGTCGAAACCACAGGGGGCGCCGTGCTGAGGGAGTGCAGCATGCGGTGTGGCAGGCCGACCCGCGGCGCAGCCGGGCCTCGGGGCTTGGCAGAGATTAGAACTGCAGGGACACCCAGGGCAGAAGAGGCCACCTCAGGGCCGTGCCCCTCATCACCGGGAGCCCACGGAGTCCACACCTTCGGTGGCCAGAGCGGCAGGGGCTCCTCAAACACAGGCAGCGGAGAACACTGGGGTCCGTGTGCCCAGGCCCCCAGCCAGCAGTCTGGTTTGTCATCGTAGGAGCCCAGGGGTACAGGGAGAGCCTGGACTGGCCTCTGGAGCCCCGACGCCTGACAAGGGGTTGGACACACCCTTCCACAGGCACAGGGGCAGCTCTCAGCCTCCCTGCATCCCTCCTTTTTGCTCTGGCCTGGACCACCTGGCTGGAGCCCTGGTGGAGGGGTGCACCTCCCTGACCCTCAGTCCCTACCATACCCACCTCGGAATGGCTCATCCTGGAGAATGTCCGTGAGCCCCCAGAATCCCGCTTCCACCAGGATCGCCGTCTCCCGGAGGAGCCTGGCCTGCTCGGAGTGTGTTCCTGCAGCCACAGACAGCGAGGTTACCCTCCCGCCCCAGCCCAGGGGATGGGAGTGAGCTGGGGAGTCCAGCACCCCACCCTAAAGGCCCAGAGCCCCCAGCGCAGGGCTGTGCAGAGGGGGCTGGTTCTCAGCTGCAGGACACCGTCTGTGTCTCCTCTCCGAGAGGCCCTCGGGGGCCTCCCCGCCTGTGCCCCGCCGCACGCGGGAGCATGGGGTCTGCTCCCCCCCCCACGTGCCACCTTGACTGTGTCATGACCAGCTGACGGGGTGGGGAGCAGAGGAGTCAGGACGGCCGATGGGGCACAGCTATGGCCAGTGGGCAGTGTGGTCGCAGACACGCATGCGAGTTGCCCACACAGGGCAGTGCAGGAGGATAGGGGCCACCTGAGCTTTCCCTCGGCCTGGGGGGTCTCGGGCCAGCAGGCTTACCGGGAGTCCGAAGCCACCCTCAGTCACGCATTCATAGACAGGCGAGGACCCCTGTGGCCGTGGCCGAATGATCTCCTCCGCGGGCCCTTCAGTCACCTGGCAGAGGAGAGAACTGGGTTATCCTCAGCCCCACGGGCCACACCCAGGCCCGGGGAAGGAGGGGTGGGTAGGAGGAGGGCACGGGTCTCGCTGAGCCTCACTCACAGAGTGGTCCTCCTCGGTTTCCGCATCTGGTTCCTCAGGCTGCAGCTGCCGGCCAGACACTGCAGAGAGAGGCTGAGTCAGCGGAGGGGGGGGCAGGTGGTGGCCCTGAGGGTGGGGTCCAGGAGAGCATGCATCCATTGGAGGTGGTGTCCCCCGTCCTGGATCCACAGCCACTGGGCCGGGAGGTTGTGCCATCAGGTCAGTGAGCCAGGATGCGGGGGGGGGGGGGGGGGGTACTCAAAGTGACAGACTTCACAGATTTAGTCCAAGAAAGTTACTAAACAAACACACACACGAAGCAATAATCACACCCGGAGGGGAATCACAATGCAGAGCAGTGACCGTGTATGACAGATAAGGCCCAGCATCTGACAAAAACTCGTGACATGCAAAGAAACGAAAAAACAGCCTGCACCAAGGAGCAGGGCGGGGGTGGGGACGGTCCCTGCACGTCCACAGAGGCGGCACCAGCCCAGTCTGCAGAGGAACTAGTACACACTAGTACACATCTGTTCGAAGAGCTGAAGGAAACGTGCTTAAAGAAGTACTGGGGGAGTCCGGCTGCTGTGGCTCAGTGGTTGAGCATCGACCCTGCACCAAGAGGTCGCCGGTTCAATTCCCGGTCAGGGCACATGCCCAGGTTATGGGCCAGATCCCCAGTGGGGGGCATGCAGGAGGCGGCCAATCAGTGTTCTCTCTCATCCATGTTTCTATATATCTCTCCCTTTCCCTTCCTCTCTCTAAAACCAATAAAGGAAAAAAAGTTTTTTTAAAGAATTACTGGAGCCCTGGCCAGTTTGGCTCAGCGGTTAGAGCGTCGGCCTGTGGTCCGGAGAGACCCGGGTTCGGTTCCCGCTAAGGGCACGTACTTCGGTTGCAGTTTGTCCCCGGCCCTGGTTGGTCGTGCGGGTGGCAGCCACTCGATGTGTCCCTTCACGTCGATGTTTCTCACTCACTCTCCCTTCCTCTCTCTCCCTCCCACTCTGTCTGTGCAAAAAATGGAAAAGTGTCCTCAGGTGAGGATTAAAAAAAAAAAAAAAAGAATTACTGGAAAATATGTGGCATTCGTGAAGGAAGACAGTCGTAAAGGAATAGAAATTATAAAAATAAACGAAACCCCAAGTGACAGTCCTGGAGTTGAAAATGCTGACGGGGATCTAACAGCGGCACTGAGGTGGATGCCTGAAGAACTGGAAGAACTTGTAGGCTAATAAAAAGTAACCAATTTGAAGACCAGAGGGGAGAAGACTGAAGAAAAACGAGCAGAGCCCGCGCGATCGGCAGGACCCCCTGGAGATGTTGATTGAGATGTCGATGTCCCCCAGGAAAAGCAGAGACAAGGCAGAAACAGGAAATAATGGCCGAAAACCACCTGCAGGTCCCAGAAGCTCAACAAACCCCAGTAGGACAAACACAGAGACATCCAGCCCCCGACAGAGCACAGTCAAAATGAGGACGAGACACAGAAAATGTTGAAAGCCACGGGAAATGACCGAGCCATCACACGAAGGGCCCAGCAACCCTGAACAGCGACACCACGGAAACTAGAAGAAAGTGGGAGGATATATTCAAATCGGCAAGGGAATGCTGTGAACCAAGACTTCTGTAGCTAGCAAACTAACCTTCAAAAATAAAGATGCTGCAAATAAAGCGACCCTGCGGGGACTGGTTGCTGTACACCTGCCTCCCAAGCAGAGGGACTGGCACCAGCCACTATCTCAAATCCACAGGCAAAATGGAGAATGGAGAAAATGGTAAATACGTAGGCACATAAGAGACTTGGAGCATCACCCAGCCGGTGTGGCTCAGTGGATTGAGCATCGTCCCACGGACTGAGAGGTCCCGGTTCGATTCCCGGTCAGAGCACATGCCCGGGTTGTGGGCTCGATCCCCAGTAGGGAGCGTGCAGGAGGCAGCCGATCGATGTGTCTCTCTCTCATCGATGTTTCTATCTGAGTCTCCCTCTCCCTTCCACTCTCTCCAAACATCATTGGGAGAATTATCCTCGGGTGAAGGTTACCAAAGAAAAAAGAAAAAGAAAGGTGAGGCCAGAATCATCCCACGCTTCATGCGCTCAACTGGCTGTTGACAAAGAGCCAAGTTATTTCAAAAGAAAAACAATAGTTTTTCCCACAGAGGTGCTGGGTCAATAGATATTTACTTACTAGTGAGGGGGGAATAAATCCCAAACCTTTACCTTACCTTTACACACATACAAGGTAACTCGAGACGAGCCACAGACTAAGTGTGAACCTAAAACGATACAACGAGAAGAAAGCTTGGGAGAAATTCTTTGCCACCTTGGAGGAGGCAACGTTTTCTTAGGCAGGAGACCAAAGGTGTGAGTCATAAAAGAAAATGTGGTAAATTACATTTCATCATAATTAAATATCTCTGGTCTGGAAAGGTACTCTTTTTTTTTTTTTTTTTTTAATGTTTATGTATTGATTGGTTTTAGAGAGAGCGGAAGGGAGAGAGAGAGAGAACATGGATCTGTTGTTCTGTCCATCCATTCATTGGTTGATTCCTGTAGATGCCCTGACCGGGGATCGAACTGACCACCTTGGCGGTCTGGACAATGTTCTAACCTACTGAGTCATCAGCCAGGATGGAAAGGCATTCTGAAGGATGAAAAGGTAACCCATGCATCTGATAAAGGACTGGCACCTAGAACTGCAACTCGATAGAAAGAGACAAAACACTCCATTAAAAATGGGCACAAGATTTGAACAGATACATCCCAAAAGATGCACCAGTAAGCACAAGAAAAGACGCTCAGCATCTTTAGTCATCAGGTAAATACAAATTAAAACCAAGGGAACGCCCTGGCCAGTTTCGCTCAGCGGATGGAGCGTCGGCCTGCGGTCTGGAGAGACCCAGGTTCGGTTCTGCTAAGGGCATGTATCTCGGTTGCAGTTTGTCCCTGGCCCTGGTTGGGTCGTGCGGGTGGCAGCCACTCGATGTGTCCCTTTCACGTCGATGTTTCTCTCTCTCTCTCTTCCTCTCTCTCCCTCCCACACTCTATCTGAGCAAAAAATGGAAAAATGTCCTCGGGGGAGGATAAAGTAAATAAAAATAAATAAAAAAATAAAACCAAGGGAACAAAACAAAAATCCCAGAAGCAGACTCAGACAGACATCTCGGGGTGGGAGGTGGAAGGTCCTTTCAGGAGCTGGAGCTGTGTCCCTTGAGAATCCAAATGGAAATATATCCACGCGGACCCCCACGTCAGCCACAGAAAGCATGCATTTCCTGTGCACTGTGGAGCCGAAGCTGACGGTTTAACAACCAAGCTTCCAGAAAATAAATGGAAATGACTCAGGGTAGGGAAACGATTCTTAACTAGGACACAGAAAGTAGCCGAAAGGAACCAATTGGCGACATTAAAGTCAAGAGCTTCTGTTCATCAAAGAACACCTGTGACGGCGTGAAATTCAAGCCATGGGCTGCACAGGACATTCCCCCCACCCCCCCACCCCGTGCACAAAGAATTCCTGCACAGAGAGGAAAGGCAGACAAGTCAGCTGAGACTGGCCAGAAAACATCGCCAAAGCAACTCACAAAGAACACATCCGGCTGGCCGGTTGACACAGGAGAGGCGCCCTGCGTCCTTCGCCCTCAGAACACCCCCGCGCCCCGGCCTCCGCAGGCGGGCTGAGCCGGCGCCCTCGCTGTGCAAGAGCCCCCGGGGCCCAGCAGCCCCACGCCCCGCCCCGCCGGCAGAAGGCTGGCGTGTGTTCCCCAAACCATGGTACAAACATGTCCACCTGGCACTGCTTCAATGCTCATCAACAGTAGAAGGACGACGATGGTGAGTCCTGGCCAGTGCGGCTCAGATGGTTGGGCACTGTCCTATACACCAAAAGGTTGTGGGTTCTATTCCCAGTCAGGGCGCATGCCCACGGAGACAGCCGATCCATGTTTCACTCTCTCTCTCCCTTCCTCTCTCTCTCAACATCAAAATTTTTTTTTTATCCTCACCTGAGGACATTTTTGCATTTATCTTCAGACAGAGTGGGAGAGATGGAGGAGGAAAGAGAGAAACATCGATGTGAGAGAGACACTTCAACTGGTTGCCACCCGCACGACCCCAACCGGGGCCGGGAACAAACTGCAGCCAAGGTACATGCCCTTAGCAGGAACCGAACCCGGGACTCTCCGGTCTGCGGGCCGACGCTCTAACCGCTGAGCCAAACTGGCCAGGGCTCAAAATCAATTTAAAAAAAAAAATTTTTTTTTCTTTTTCTTTTTTTTTTATCCTCATCCGAGGACATTTTCTTGCATTTATCTTCAGATAGAGAGGGAGGGAGAGGATGGAAAAGAGAGAGAGACACATCGAGCAGCCGCCACCCACATAACCCCAACCAGGGCTGGGGACAAACTGCAACTGAGGTACGTGCCCTTAGCAGGAACCGAACCCAGGACTCTCTGGTCCAGGCTGACGCTCTAACCGCTGAGCCAAACTAGCCAGGGCTAAAAAATACATATTTTTTTTATCCTCACCAGAGGACTTTTTTTTTTGTTTTTTTTTTGTTCAGATAGAGCGGGAGGGAGAAAGAGGAAGAGAAAGAGAGGGAGAAACATTGACGTGAAAGGGACACATGGCTGCCACCCACACGACCCAACCAGGGCCGGGGACAAACTGCAACCGAAGTATATACCCTTAGTGGGAACCGAACCTGGGTCTCTCTGGACCGCAGGCCAATGCTCTAACCGCTGAGCCAAACTTGCCAGGGCTAAAAAATATTTTTTTAAAGGAAAGAAAACCATGTTGGTTATTTGTCCCGTGGACTAGTTCAGGGCAAGGCAAGGGAATACACAGCGCTGGGCCTGGTTTGCCAGTCAGGACCCTGCTCACCTGGGGAGCACAGGGCTAGGGGGCCGGGGGGTGCTACACACTTACGGTTTGCACCGTTTCAAGAAAAACACTCAATTCTACATAAAATTGAAACGAGAAAATTATAAACGTTATGCCAATAACTCCACAGACGCACACAGATTCACAATCCTGGGGAAACACCTGCCAACCACGCGGGAGAGCCCAGCTCAGCGGTTCTGC